ATAATGTTTCCATTTTGTCACCGATAAACAAACGACCATGAGCTCCTTTTCATAGATTGATTTGCCTCGACCTCCCGGACCTAGGATCTTACTGTAGAACGCAACCGGTCTCCCCTCCTGCAACAACACGACCCCTGGACCAAACCCGGAGGCGTCCGACTCAACAACGAAGATTTTCGAAAAATTAGGCATGATTAACACCGGTGCATTGCTCATAGCTTCTTTCAGCCGCCGGAATGCCACTTCTGCTGCTTCAGACCACCCGAAATTGTCCTTCCTCAGTTGGTCAGTAAGAGGGTGGGCAATCTGAGCGTACTGCCTTATGAACTTTCGGTAGAATCCGGTCAAGCCCAAAAACCCTCTTAAGTCTTTTAAGGTTTTTGGAGTGGGCCAAGTCAACATGGCTTTGACCTTCTCTTGGTCCACCGCCACACCTTCACTTGAGATTACGTGGCCCAAGTATGCCACAATTGTTTTACCAAACTCACACTTCTTCTTGTTAGTAAATAATGTGTGTTCTTTCAAAGTAGCTAAGACAATAGACAAGTGTTTGACATGTTCTTCACGGTTTACACTATAAATGAGTATATCTTCAAAGAAAACAAGCACGAATTTGCGTAAAAAAGGACGAAATACCTCATTCATGAGCGATTGGAAGGTGGCCGGGGCGTTGGTCAATCCGAACGGCATCACAAGAAATTCGTAGTGCCCTTCATGAGTTCGGAAAGCCGTTTTGTGAATGTCTTCCGGCCTCATAAGAATTTGATGGTATCCGGCCTTTAAGTCGAGCTTAGAGAAAACCCGCGCCCCATGTAATTCATCTAGTAGCTCATCGATCACCGAGATCGGGTATTTATCGGGAACCGTCTCCTTGTTAAGGGCCCGATAATCGACACAAAAGCGCCACGAACCGTCCTTCTTCACCAATAGAACCGGGCTAGAGAAAGGGCTCGTGGAGGGCTTAATGATCCCGGCTTGCAACATTTCTCGGATGAGCTTCTCAATTTCATCCTTTTGAAACTGAGGGTATCGGTATGGTCGCACGCTAACCGGGTTACTCCCATCCTTGAGGACTAAAGCATGTTCATGTCCCCTAGTAGGAGGAAGCCCATTGGGCTCAGCAAACACCCCTTCAAATTCATTTAACACCCCTTCTAAAAAAGTGGGTAACTCACTGTCCTCCTGCTCCTTTCCCCCTTCTTCCATTCGATTTAATTCCACAAGCATTCCACCATTCTCTTTCCTTAAGGTTCTAATCATTGCCTTGAGATTGATACCGGACTTCGATAGGCTCGGCTCCCCCTTAATCGTGACAGGCTGCCCTTCCCACGTAAAGGACATCTTTTGAAGCTTCCAATTCGTCATCACCATTCCTAACTTTTCGAGCCACTGCACTCCTAAGATTACATCTGAGTTCCCAAGTTGAAGTGGTAAAAAATCCTCTTCAATCTCAATTGCATCCCCGAGCTTCAATTGTACGTTCTTGCATTGTCTTTGTCCTTTGATGGTCCCCCCATTACCGAGGGAAACTCCAAAAATGCTCCTTCCCACGACCGGTAGTCTCAATTTCTCGATGACTTGCAATGAAACAAAGTTATGTGTCGCTCCCGGGTCGATCATAATTACCATGGGCTTCCCTTTGATGGATCCCCTTAATTTCATTGTCTTGGGATTCGAGAGCCCCACAATAGAGTTCATAGAAACTGAGGCCGGAATCTCCGCCTCACCGTCCTCGGGTTCTTCAATTGCGGCAAACTCACCCTGCTCCTCCTCGTTTTCTTCCTCCACCATCAGCACATTCAACCCCTTGGCCGAACAAACATGCGTGGGCCCCGTCCATCGGCCGTCGCACCTAAAGCATAGGCCACGCGCCCTCTTGTCCTGTATTTCCCGGTCGGTCAGTCGTTGGACCTCTCCGCTGAAACGTGAGGTGCTTGACGATGCTCGGTTCTGGTAATTGTTGTTGGGTTGAGTGACTGAAGCAACGGACCCTTGGCTAGAATGGCTGGGTTGGTAATTTGTTTTGGGTGGGTTAAAAGATGGGTTTGATTTGGCTGGGGGTGTAAGATGGGATGTTGGTGTGTGAAGTCTGGGTCGGCCCACCTCCAAACAAGGTTGTAGCTGGGCTTTTGTTGAAGTATGAATAAGGCCCTGGTTTGACAAAGGCTCCACCCGATTTTTTTGGCCCGCTAACCCGATTTCTCTCCTCGACCCGGATTGCCAGATCCATCGCGTCTTCAAGGGTATGCGGACTCAACATTCGGATCTCCACCCTTATATCTTCCTTTAGACCATTAATGAATTGCCCCTTGAGGAGGCTTTCTGGTATGTCTGTCAGCGGCGATGCTTTCTCAATAAATGCGCGGCGATGCTCGATCACCGTCGTGGTTTTCTCAACGGCAAGCCACTGCTCATGTAGGGTTCCGGCATTGACCGGTCGAAATTGAGTTAGAACTCTCTGTTTCATGTCTTCCCAACCAATGATAGGGCGGCGGCGATTTTCCCATTGGTACCACCGTAGAGCATCACCTTCCATAGCCACCACGGCCGCCTGAGTCTTCTCGACTTCCGACAACTTGTAAAACTGAAAATATTGCTCTCCTCGTAATATCCACCCATCTGGGTCGGATCCATCAAACGTCGGTAAATCGAGTTTTCTGTATTTCCAAGACCCTCTACTGTCTTGCTGGTCGCCGAGGTTGCGGTAGTCACCCCCACCTCCAGCCTCCCAATTCCCGAACCTTAGGCCATTAAACCCACCGAGCTGTGGTTGCTCTACTTCCTCTGTCACCGGAATGTGTCGTGGAGTTGGTGGCGTATTAATGGCTTTGAGGGTGTTTCGAATTTCATCCAAAACTTTGTCCTGCCTACTCGTCATCGTGTTAATTTGCTGGGTAATATCTTGCCGGAACCTATCCATCTTGTCGTCGTTCGTCTGTCTCATTTTGTCCATGGCCTCTTCTTGTTGCTTCAGCAACGTTTGCTGAAGGGAATTTTCTCCATCTCCAAGCTTCTCCAATATTTCCTCCACCCGTTCTTCGAGCGCCGCTACCCTCTCCGGCGTCGCGGTCAGTGATGTTGGCGGCATGTCGGCTCTGATACCAACTGCAGCGAACTAGCGTGGAACAAGATAAAAATAATAATAGACGAAGGATTAAGTGTTTGATTGATAATTAAGCCAAAAGCTTTCGAAGTGTTTCCATGGCTTTAGGCCATGACTCTCCAACTTTCACTTACAAATTTTCTGGATACCTCCTCAATACTAGACTACTCTAACTTATACTACCAATACAAGCCTCAAATTGGCAAACAAGCCTTAATTACTACAACTTACTACTATTGGCATTTAACTACTTTAGTCCATTACAAACAAAAGGCTACTGCTTCCTGTCCCCTGCTGCTACAACGGTTCTCTGCTCTCCTTTTTCTTGGCTAAGTCATATTGTTGTTGGTGGTAATTTGCTGCCCCTGCCTTTGTCTTCTGCAATAAACAAGTGTCACGGGTTCTGGGAGGGAATGCATTGCACATCTCTATGTCCTCTTGAACCATTTTCCACACTTCTCAAACCCATCAATAATAGGAAAGTAAAAGGGAGATAAGGAGGAGGGAGGAAAATGTGGCTTACCTGTAAAAGAAAATGATTTTTATCTTTACGGATACGATTTCCACCACCGGGAAAATTGATTTTCACCCTTCACAAACCAAACAAAGGAAAATGGGGAAAAAAAAAGGGAAAACCATTTTCCACGAAAAACATGTTATATCAAACCAAAGGGGTCTAAGAGTTTGTCTTGCCTTGATTTTTCTGTAGCACAAGTGACTATGCAAGTTCTCGGTCATTATTTTGATGCATGAGCATAATTGAAACTGATATCTTTATGAGCATCCAGCATTTTTGATATCTATGGCCTAGAACATTGACAAAATTGCTCAGAAACTAAGTTAAGATTGATAAACTGTCATATTGTGGAGAAAATGGACACAGATAAATTACCATCTTGTTGTATGCTCTATGGAATTTAAGCGTAGCATCTACATATGTGAATATTAGTATTTAACTTGTAAGGGGTGTTAGTAGACTTCGAGTAATAAAGTTGCCGGGTCAAGTATATCTAAGGGAAAAATTAAGTCAGAGTATAGTAGTATATATGTTAATGTCAGAAATGACTCTTGTGACTTGTAAGTGATTATTTCCAGTCTACCTTTGAACATTCTGCCTACTATTCTCCTCTTGCAGCTGAGCCACTAAAAAATTTTAAGCTACCCTTTTATAAACACTTTAGGAATTTTTGCTGCCTATTAATTCAACAAAACCATCACTCCATCAGCTTTGGCATACTAATAGATTTTGACAATACAGAATACTTGGGCCTTGTTTGTCAATATAACACTGTGCAGACAATAGTATATTCCATTCCCAACTAGAAGACTTTACTAGCAAGCTGGGGTAGTAGGTTTGTTAGAAGACGGCTATATAAACGGTGTTTGGTGATTAGAAAAATAATTACTAAGTTGGCTAACACTTTTGAAATCCAGAACTGAAATGCTGGAAGATTGAGCACTTGCGAATTAGCATACTTGGGACCAGTGTACATAGATATGCTCTCTGTTGAATTTTGGTCCCTGATAAATATTCTCTCAGTCTAGTTTTATCTATGGTGGGAGATTGGTTCCATAGTTGTCCTATTTTCTGTCCACTCAATTCCCTCTTTACCTACATGCCTCTATCTCATATAATTTGTCTCTCCTCTTTCCCTATTTTCCAATATGTACATTTCTCCCGCTCTTTAATTGATCTATCAGTTGGGATGCTATTTTGCCTTTTGTTTTGAGGATACTTCTCTAATTGGTGTTGAGGTTATTCTTATGCTAACTCTCCAAGGCAAAAAAGTCTTCTTGTGCTAAAAGTGTAATCATTTTTATTGAACTTCTCCCTTGTTATGCGTCTTGAATCTTTAGTAGGAATTAGCTCTTGTTCTACACCTTGTTATTTAATTGAGCTTATGAGATTGTAATAGATGATTTGAATAACTAGGGGGTTACATTATGTTGGGTTGGTGGAGAATGTTTTAGCATGAAAAATCTGATTATTTGGTGAGGCTATTGAAGAAAAAAAAGGAATTTCTCAACGGTAACCCTTAGTTATGAATTCTTCTCTTTGAATTTTTACTTGGATGCTCTTTTTTTTCCCCTTACTTTTACACTTCTTTTTTCAAACTCTTTCATCGGATTATCTTGTTATGTCCCTTTTTCTATATCAGACAGTTCTTTACGACGATTTATGTTAGCCGACCCCAAATAGGATTTCAATGAGAAATAAAGGGATAACAATTTTTTATCTAGCAAATGGGTCAGATGGTGGTGTAATTTATGTCAACTATGTGTTTAGCAAGTTGGTACCAATTTGATGATGGGCACAAGCTAGAATCAATAAATGTAGCACACCTCAAAGTTGGTGTCTTGGATTTAATATTTCCATATATCGTTAAATGTGTGTTCTGTATTGCGTCTTTGTTTGATTTATACAAAAAGTCTCATTGTTACTCATAAAAGTTGGAAGATGCATAAATTCATATTACATTTTGTTGGTTGTACGTTCTATTTTCATCCATTCTTTTTCTTGGGTACACTTTCTTTTATCCTATTTTGGCAAACTTTTCTCACATTAACTAATCTACAACCACTCTACTCTTTCTTACAAAAACCCCACTTACAACAATTTCTCTCCTACTCTTGTTACACATATCCCACCTCTCAAATTCCCTTTCCACCTCTCGTTGGTCTGTGGTATCCATATGAAGTGTTACTAACATTTAGAACCGAAGGTACTCTTAACAACTAATCCTATCATAGTTTTAAAATTGTGAAAGACAGTAATCTACTTTTGCCAACCTCTTGTATCTTCTCATATGCATTTATTTTGTTGTGATTAGTTCAGTTGTCTTTGACATGTTGTGTGGTCGGAGGGTCCAGAAGGGTGTAAAAATACTTGTACAGAATATTGGATGGGAGGATAGTGTTATATTGTCAGCTTCTGTGTGTCTGTTGGCCCTGTCGTTACATAAGAGATATTTAAGGCTGTTAATATTGTTCATTTGTTTGTTATATTTGGTGATTTTCACTTTCAAAGTGCATGAGTTATTTGCGTGTGACCATCAATTTGTCCTAATGTTGATATGTATATCGTTATGGGATACTCCTATATGCCATTATAGTGTTATACAGTCAATTTTGCTAACATTGGTAAAGTTTTAGTGAACTAAGGGTGTACATGTTTTGACTTTGGTCTTTAGTATCTATATTTTTTCTGTATAAATATCACATTGAATGAAGAAGGGACCATAATTTTGTAGAATTCGATAATATTTGACTGAAAGAGCTTGGTGAAGCAAGTGGAACTGCATTCCTTGTTTGAATGATGACGTATTAAGAGATCAAACATGTACCATGGCCTATAGGTGTCTTTCTCTTCTGATATGGTCTGCTATTTACTTGAAATTTTGTGTTTTTCTTGTCAGGACGTTATGTTTCTCCTTCCGCTGCTGAAATGGTGAGACTTAGTTTATCCTTGCATTTTGACTGTGTAATTGGTAGCATACCTTTGTTTTCTATACCGACTCTTATAAGAAACATATATTTCTACTGAGAATCCCCAATATATGTTGACATATTTTAATACAAACCTACTTTCTGGAATTCTAAATTTTGGTATTTGCACATTGTTACACTAAATTTTATTTTTGAAGAAATACATTAAATTTTGACTAATGATAAATGATAAATAAATGTTATTTATATTTTGAAGTAAAACACAAGGAAACAAGGAAGTTCAAACCAGTCTTCAGTCCAGTACGAAGCCAAGCCTCAAATGTTGGTGTTGGATCAAGCGACTTTGATGGAAGAGAGGAGTTTAATAGTCAGAATATATCTTCAAATAGCTCATCCACTGAAAGCTCCTCTCAAATGTAAGTATCTATTTTCATTGTTGCAAGCTTGCTACCAAGTAAGCTTTTATTTGTAATCTTTATGTCATAAAAAGTACACTGTTGTTTGTAATCTTTATGTCATAAACAGTTGAATTTATTTGAAAACACGTATGACTGATAGAGTGATAGGCATCACCTAATTAAAATAATCCCAAAATCCACTAACAAGGTAGTGAGGGAAGTAGAGTCATACGATGTCCTTTTGATCCTATTATTTATGGGATCGAGTGTTTTGATGTTGGAATAATTGAAACTAAGACAATAATTGAATAGGGAATGATAAATACTAAGGCCTTGTTTGGTTGACAACATAAAATGGAGGAAGTGAAAATTCATGGAAATTAATTAGTTCAATAATTGTTTGGTTGACACACAAAAACAAAATGGAGGAAGTGGGAATTCATGGGAATTCCAACTCCCCATAAAACATGGAAAGTAAATCACCATGCCCCCCTTTGGTTAATCAAGATTCATGGGTTTAACCCCCTCTTCCCTTCTTCCCCAATTCTTCACTTTCTCTCTCTACTTTCCAAACCCTAACTTCTCAACTCTACAAACTTTAAATCTCTCACCCTTCCTCAAATCTCTCAAATTCTCAATCTTTGTTACATCTACTGTCTAATACACTTTACTTTATCTTCATTCTCCATAGTTTACAAGTTTCAAATATCCTATAGAGAAATACCTTCAATTACTCAAATATGGCACCAAAAAGGTCAAGACTGGCTCTGATAGCTCGAGATAACCACAATTAGATATTTAACAAGACCTTTTGGACATAGTCATTGAATTCTAAAGGGTATATCTCAATCATTCTTAGTTTTAAAAGGCACGAGACGCACTGAGAGCTTAGCCGTTAGGCAAAAGGCGTAGATGTGCACCTTTCGTATATGAGGCGCTTTTTAAATTTTTTATATATTTATTATACTGCTTTCTTAGTACTTCCGCCGTTTCTATTTATTTGACGCATTCAATGTAAACACACATATTAAGGAGAGGAGATAGAATGGGAGAGAATGATAAAGCAAGTGGGGTACAAAAAAAAAACAAGGTATAAAACTTACCCAAAAAGAAAACGTGACAACTAAAAATAAACTTCTTAAAAAGAAATACGTGTCAACTAGGGGTGGGACTTTTCAAACCGAACCGTGAAACCGTCCGTTACCGAACCGAACCATCACGGACCGAACCGTTTATAACCCGCTAATTTTAAACCGAAAACCGAACTGAACCGTATAATGTCAAACTGAAACCGAACCAAACCAATTAATGTTAACCCGTTACGAACCGTAAACCAATAACAAACCAAACCGTTTATAAACCGAAGTCGTTTGAACGGATTAATGTTAACCCGCTAACTGTTTAAACCGAACCGTTTATAAACCGAAACCATTTAAACCGTAGGAAAAAACCGTTTAAATCGAACCATTTACAACCCGCTAACCGTTTAAACCGAACTGTTATAACCCATTAAACCGTTTAAACCGAACTATTTTCAAACCGCAACCCGTTTAAACCGATCCGATTCCAAATATTTAAACCGAACCGTTTACAACCCGTTCCATTCAAATTGAACTATTTACAGCCTTTAACAATTTGTTAGAATTCCACGAAATATATTTGATGTTTAATGTAATTTAACAGTACAATTTTTTTTACATATAATTATTGATTTAAATTAAATTTTTTTGCTATTATAAATTTAAAATTATATTCTTGTATAACTAAATTAGGAGTTATAAATTAAATAAAAAAATGAAAAAATTTGGCCACCCACCCAATCCAACCACCCTCCACCCACCCACCACTGTAACCCACCCTAACACCACCCCCGCCGTCACCCCAGACCCACCCTAACACTACCCCCCACCCACCACCGTTACCGTAACCCACCCCCACCCCACCAACGTCAACCCAGACCCACCCTAACACCACCCCCGCACCCACCATAATTACCGTAACCCACCCCACCCCACCCCACCACCCACCGTAAATAAAAAAACCCAGACCCAAACCTTACCCCACCCCATCCACCACCGTCACCGTAAATAATAAAAACCCAGACCCATACCCCACCCCACCTACCACCATCACCGTAACGTACCCCACCCCACCCCCTTAACAAACCCCACCCCACCCCACCCACCACCGTCACTGTAAAAAAAAAAAAAAATACCAGACCCAACCCAACCACACCCACCACCGTCACCGTAACACACCCCACCCCACCCCATACAAAAAAATCGAAAAAAACCCAAACCCACCGTAACCCCACCCCACCCACCCCCACGAAACCCAACATCCTCGAAACCCCCCAACTCACTCTAATTGCTCACCCACCATAAAACTCCCTCCCTCGAAAAATCCTCCCTCCCCACCCACCCGAACCCAGTCTAACCGCCGCCGCACCCACCCTAACTCGGCCCCCTCCGTTGCCCACAACTTGAAAAAAAATTAAAAAGAAAAACAAAAAATAAAAAAAGGAAGAACGAAAACACCTTATATATTAATCCTGAATTTGGCCTCGAATTTGGTTTTAAAAGGCCAAATTCGATCATGAAACAACTAGATCAAGAGTTTCGTGGTCGAATTTGATCATAAAAACCGTCGTGCGTGGTGCCGGTGGACGGAGACGGAGAAACGAGATGGAAGAAAGGAGAACATAGACGGAAGAAGGGAGAAGAAGGAAGAAGAAGAAAGGAAGAAGGAAGAGGAGATGAGAGAGAAAACGAGAGAGCAGTGAGCATATTAGCAGCCATGGCTTCAAAAAATTGATAATATTATAGAAGAGGATTAAGAAAACGAAAGAGAAATCAAAAAGAGTACTAAAGAGACGATGGTAAGAGTGATCTGATTGGTGGAAAAGAAAACACACGGATCGTGAATTGGAATGTGTGCGATGATAGGCCGTTAGATGACATGCAAATCAATGGCTGATATTTAATATAAGACGGTGACACGGATCATGGGATAATGGATTTGGATAGTATGTTTTTTTTTATTCATAGCTACATACTAATAAAACACTACTTTACTCTTAACTTTATGTAACTTATAAATTGTAAGAAACACAAATGTTTGGAAATTGGAATTGATTCAATATGACATATTTAATGTATATTAGTTATATGTATATCAGTATATGTAATAAATAATAATGTATGGTACGATTGGTATCATACTATCATTGGTATGTATAGATAATCGATAAATGTATCTAATTATTAAAACTTAAAACAGTTGATGATCGATCTAATTGAATACTTCTACTTCCCCACCCGTTTTCTTTAACTTGCAAGTTGCAACATATATATGTTGCAGCCTTGTAGGCACGTAATCTTAAAAGGTGATTAGAGAGGGTAAGACAACAAAGTAATTCAACAATATAACTTTAACACCAAAATTATGGAATAGTTACAAACAATTGTCAATTATTACTTTATTAGACTAATGGGAAATTGAATAATCGTGATTTTAATTAAACATCCAAATATAGTTCTGTAACATTAAATTATTAGTTTATTACAATATCAATTATCGATTTATCGTATTCAAAGTACCAATTCATCAAATCATGGTTATGACGCGATCTTTAAAACAATTAAAACAAGAAGCTGATAGCCTGATAATATTTGATAATGAAACAATAATACATTAATACCTTATAAATTTGTAATAGACTAATATTTAATAAACAACAACAAGACTATAACCAAATTTGAAACATAAACATTAACATGATATAGAATGAATGAGAATTTCTGTAATTCTATATAATCTGATATCTGAATCGATTTATCGTATTCAAAGTAGCAATTCATCAAAACATGGTCATGACGCGATATCTAAAACAATCCAACAAGAAGCTGATAACCTAATAATATATATTTAATAATGAAACAATAATACATTAATACATTATAAATTTGTAATAGACTAATATGATAATATCGAATAAACAACAACAAGAGTATAACCAAACTTGAAACATAACATATTAACATGATATAGAATAATTGAATAAATGAAGATTTGTGTAATTGTATATAATCCGATGTCTGAAAATAAAGTGACGAAGTCCCAACTTTATATAAAACGAAAATAGCTAACCGGTCAAAAATCTCTTAAAACCCAATTTCTACTCGATCCATTATTTTTTTCACCAACCTATGCCGACCCGCTAATGAAATGGAAATACTAGTCCCAACTTGATATAAAACAAAGCGCGCTAACTGGTCAAAACCACTTTTTAGAACTCGATTTCAACCCGATCCTATTTAACTAATTACCAAACTAACCCGAACGATTTTAGCACCAAACCGAGTATAAACCGAACCGATATGAATCGAACTAGCATTAACCCGGGTAAACCCGCCCCTGAACCGACCCATTTCAAAATAATCCGTTCATGACCCGAACCTATATGAACCCGGACCGACGTTGACCCGGTAAAACCGCCCCTGAACCGATCTGTTTCAAACCGGTCAGATCATGACCCGAACCGTTTATAAACCGAACGGGCATTGACCCGGGTAAACCCGCCCCTGAACCGACCTGTTTCAAACCGACCCGATTATTAACCGAACCGTTTAAAAACCGAACCGGCATTGACCCGAGTAAATCCGCCCCTGAAGCGACCCATTTCTAACCGATCTGATTATGACCCGAACTGTTTATAAACCGAACCGTTTATGACCCGAACCGAATTTAAATCGTACAAAAATAAACCGAAACCGAACCGACCTGTGACTAATCAAAACCGAATTGAACCGACCCGCCGTCTAAATGAAACCGTTTTAACCCGAAACGTTTCAAACCGAAACCGTTTCAAACTGAGGTCAAACCGAACTGCCAGACCGAAGTCCCACCCCTAGTGTCAACTAAAAAAAAAGAGGTAATATTAAATATATAGAAAAAAACTGATTTATAATAAAAAGTAAAAAGCTTTTTAATAACAATAAAAAAAGATGGGAGTTTAAAGTTGAAAGTTCTACATTCATTTACAGGGGGAATTTTTTTTTCCTATTCGTCAACTAATTCCTACTCATTTCATATATAGAAATTCTTTAAATCATATGGAAATTGATAATGAGGTTAAAATGTTGTTTTAATGTGTCAAGTCAAATATTTAGTTTGTCTTATTACACTTTTTCCCAAATTACTTGTGAATTTTTGAGCTCTTTAAGTGTTGTGAAATCTAGAGGGGGTGATATCACCTTGTACTATAGATTAATAAATAGAGTTATTGATGAGTTTGAATGAGTTCGCTCGAACTTTCGGCCTAAGCATTAATTGTATTCACAATTTGCCACCCAAATATATCGTCGTAAGTCTTTGGAGGGCTCTCACCGGTCAGGAGAACTGTGATTCCTTCCAACTTCTAAATGCCACTCTAATCCACCACTTTATCCCTAAGGTTTGGCAATGGTTTACCGGCATTACTTTTTTAGGAGGCATGAGCCTCAAAATGTTAAGAGTGAGGAATTGGCCATTTTTGGTAGTTATGTTTACTGAACAACTAACGGTACTAACCCTTAAAAAATTAATATTGCGCACCAACTTGCAGTCCACCATAATAATATAGGCTAAGGGCACTACATTGCTGTCCCATTTACTTTGGTGGCTTGGTCCTGGTCCTGGTCCTGGTCCGGTCCTATTCGATCTAGCCTATATAGTCTACATGGTTTCTAAAAACTGTACTCCTATAAAGCAATAAAAAAACTAAGCTAATTGCATCTATCACTATCAGTAGACTCCAACAATGACTTCCTTATATCTCTATGCAGGAGTATTTTTACTCTATAAATAATTATAGCATTCCTCCAGATCCAAATGCCTTTGCACTCATTTTCCTGGCAATCTTATTTTCATTCTGCACTTTTTCTCTGAAAGACTTCATCTGTGTTATAAACCAGATTTCCCACTTCAAGATTAACACTAAGAACAGTAATTTAAGGCTTAAAGCTTGAGTAATTAATTGCTAATGATTTTAGAATACAAACTAAGTAGGATAACTATAGCTTTAGGCTATAAATCTCAAGGTAGCTTGAGGCTACTACTCTCATGAAGAACTCACTGAACTCACTTAATTTCTGGATAATCTAACTACTAAGTTTACTACCCTATTTATAATCAAGACATCTAAGACTAAAGATGGATACATGTGACTCCTTAGCTAAAATGGCAAAGCCATTTTTAGACATTGTTAAGGCTGTTGCTTGTTTTCCTTTTCTTTGCTTCTGCTGTCCCTTCATCTGTTGCCGCTTCTTGACTGTTGACCTACGGTTTTTCAACCTTGGGCCTACGGGTGTACACTTTGACGGGTTGGGCCGTATGGTGATTCATTACAATCTGCCTTCTCAGCTGCAACACATTGAGCACATATTTCTAGACTTCAGCTGATGAGCTGACAAAGAGCAAGAGAAGAACTAATGTCAAAGCTCTGTGGAGCCTGATCATTTAACTTCGGCTTTGCACACATTGAATGCCCCAACTTGTGATTCTGCCTTTAGTGTGTATTATATGCAAAATAGTCATCCACAAAGTGAATACAATTTTATGACAAGCTTTAATATTACAGATCACCCTTATCCACACCACCTTTTCGTATGGTTCTTGAAGCTTTTGTTACATAAGTTTGAAATTTTGAATGAGAAGCCACTTTAACTGTTAACTGCATTCCACCCACCAACCTTATCAATGTAGTCTACATATCCAAATTTTCCTCACAAGCCATGAAGTGTGGAATAGGCATAGTGGAGACATCCCTATCCTTGACATAATATATGTGAATTCATTTGACCCAAAGTTTGTCCTTTCTGTCAGCTAATGCCAAATGGATTTTGGTAAGGGTAGCCTTATTCCACGCATGAAGGTGTTTCATGATTGTTGTATGAATTTTGCCATCTCTTTAGTATCCTATAAGATAATGTCTCATGTGGCTGTATCTGAAAATGTGCTGTGATGTGTCTGACAATCAGAATAACATGTTTGTGATTCCTGCTCCTGTACTTCGATGTGACAACCTTTTCATTGTTCACCTTTTGACTTCTGATTAGCCTTTCATGCAGAATATGTCATATCTTAATCGTGTATGATCTGTTGCAATGTGTATTAGGATGACATCAATTTATGTTCAATTTTCGATTGTTTGGCAGTGACAAGCGTCCTAGCCGAATCCCTTATCCTCTCTCTATAGCTATGGTTCTAGGTGGGTGTGCTCTGGCATTTTCCCTTGTAATGTTTGTCAAAGGAGGGCCTTCATAAATATTGGCTGCAATTACAAAGACCGGATTTACTGCTGCATTCACATTAATGTTTGTCTCAGAAATTGGGGACAAGGTATACATTTTGTAACAAAGCTTTTATCCGTTCTTTTGAAATTGTATCGGTCTGCAGTGTCATTTGAGTCCGTGATTTGAATTAGAATAATCACCAGGAGCATATCACATTCCTTGATCACATATTCTTTTGATTTGAGTATATAATGTTAATTACAGATGGCTAGTTACTTTGCTAACCTATATTTGAAAATAATGTTGAAGCCAAGATTTTTTTTTTCTTGGAAACATCTGGATAAATATTTTTCCATATGAACTAACCAGCATTACTGTGCTGCTATATTAGTAGATGTGATATTTATTACAATTATGTTTGAGCTTTTGTTTGGCTTTCAAGTAGGACCTCATGGCCATACAAAAATCGTAAAGATTCTATGATTTCAATCGCGATTATAACTTATCCATAGGCAGGATTACAGGCTGTTAAAGTGAACAAAAATGAGCCTTTTAATCAAGTTATTGTCCTCATAAAATGCATATTTTTTTATGGAAGGTCTTTACATAATGCAGTGTCAATGTTCAGTATAATGTTTACCTGTAATAGGCCTGAGATCAAATAACTCGTGCAATTTTCAGATTTTTATTTTATTTTATTTTTTTTAAAGGACAAATGTTATATTTCCATTTTATATACCTTTAGACTGCCTCTGGAATGTTATTTTGTGAAATGGAAATGTTGATAAGTTGCTTTGCGTTTGTGGAACAGACATTTTTTATTGCTGCTCTCCTGGCCATGCAGTATAAAAAAGGACTGGTATGATTCTCTCTCTCTCTCTCTCTCTCTCTCTCTCTCTCATACTCTCATCCTAAGGTCTGATGCTTTCATGTATTCTACCAACTTAATATTGATGCTCAATCTCATCAGAAGGTGGATGGCCTACCAACTTAATGAAAAATATTCATGGAAGATTAGAAAGTTGAGATCTGTTACCAGTGAGCTCTAATAAAATTTGAATTTTAAATGATAACCTTCTTAGAATTACTGTGTGTAGGTGGCACTTTTTAGCCATTCTACAAAGAAGTTTCCTGTTTCCTCTGTGTATAAGCAGCATAATTTAGGCATAGTTTCTAATGTGCTTTTTTCTCAGGATAATCAAGAGGATGCCAGCTAGTTTTACCTGTTTTCTGCGTGTTGAAAATTGATTATCAATATTCAGGCATGAAATATTGAATATTTGTAATAAGGATATGCTTTGCCAAGTATCATGAAGAGCAGAGTGGAGGGTCTATTGTTTTCAATTAGGGTTGAATTTGTCAAAGAGGATCTTTCCTGAGATTTGCATGACACCAAAGAATTCTGTGCCCAATGTAAAGACCATCTTTTTATCTATTAAGGACATTTGATGGTATACTCCCTAATCTAGCATATAGGGTTAAAAAAGACAGATTGAAGGGAACATCTTATAATTAAAAAATGCAGTGAACTAGTCTAACTTTTCATAAATCTATCAATGATGAGTTGGCCCTTACAACCACAAGTAATGTAGAAAATTGGTGAAGCTTGAGAAACTGATAAAGGAAAAGAGTAAGCTTATCTGACTAGGCCGTGCCAAGGTTTATGATAACATGGATTGATGAACTAAAGAAGCATAAGATATATTACTAGAACCTTGTTTCTCTCTCTGTTGCTTGTGCATGTTTACTTATCCGGAAATTAATAAAGAGCCTTCAACCAAGATTGTCAAAAGAAATTGAGTAAATTGTTGTTTTGCTAGCGTTTATAGTGTCACTACTCACTAGTTTCTCCAGATCTATTACAGTGAATATCCCTCTATTCGAAGGTTCAAGAAGTTATGTTAACTAACTTCTGTCTGCCAGGTATCTTGAGTTTTGTTCCCCTTGATCTTTTGGGTCGCCATTCTGTAGAGCTACCATATGTCAGTGTTGAGTATAGCCTTTTCTTTCACAAGTCCTTTTTCTGCGACATGATTAACTGTTAAAGCATTTTCTAGAGAGAGGATGATCACCAGTGCAAAATTGAGTGTATTTCCACTGATGGAAATCCTATGTTACAATCTTTTTTTCATGAAACAGGTTCTGTTAGGATCAATGGGTGCCCTTGGACTAATGACCATCCTCTCTGTGATAATAGGACGAGTATTTCAGTCTGTACCGGCTCAATTTCAGACAAGTAAGTGTTTACCTCACATTTGAGGAATCATGTTTGTAATTGTTGGCCTAACTTATGATTGCACTATGTGTCAGGGTGTCAGGCTCATGAAACCACCTTTTCTATTTTTTTATTGGGAAATTCTCATGTCGCCTCTAAAAATTGCTATGCTTGATTGCTAGCCCCTTTTGTTAAAAAAAAAAAAAACAATTTACAAAATGACCCTAATTCATTTATTATTCACTTATTAAGACCTAATCCATTTATCACTAAAATGCAAATTGTGGTTTACCTAATAAATTACTTATATGGCCCTACAATCCTCAACTTTCTCCCTACTCACACCACTTTACAACATCAACCACCATCACCATACATTTGTTAGTAAGACCCTTTTTAGCCCAGCACAGTACACCTTTTTGCCCATTTTTTTCTTAATCAATTTAAAAGATGGCAAATTGTAAACTAATAATCCCACCTTTAGGTGGTCTTCCACAAACAATCCCACCTTTCTAAAATCCAGAAACAATCCCACCTATTCCCCCTATCTTCCATTAACGATCCTTTTTACAGGTTACCCCTTAAACCGGTGAACCTATTCTATTTCCCTCCCTAAAGTCTTTCTTCTCCAACGGTTTTCCCCCAAAAAAAACATAAGTTTCGCCATTTTTATGAAACAAAGTAACAATTAAAAAAAAAATTAACTTTCAGAAACTTATCTTCATCGAAAGGACTGCAATTGTTCATTGATTGAAGGAAATTAAGGTCCTTAGCACAACAATTCAAGGTGGGCTAATTAGAGGTAAATTTTCGACAAACCCTAGCTTTCTTAAATTTGCGAATTAAAGCAATTAAACGAAGATAGCTTCGATTAACATAGTGAAGATTAATTTAAGTAGTTATTGAGACTGTTTGCGTATTGTAATGGGTCTTGCATGTTTGAAAATATATCATGGTGGGAAGTTTAAATTTGACAGTAATGGTTACTGGGTTTATTTGGGAGGGAAGTTCAGAACTTTTGATGTTGATGTTGATGAGTTGTGTTGGTTTTATATGAAGGAATTAGTTGCTAAATGTGGTAATTATTCTGGAAATTTCAAACTTTATTACTTAAATCCTGCACTTGACTTAAGGGGTGGGTTAAAGTCTGCATTTACTGATGATGAATTCAGAGAATTGGGTAGGGTAATGGTGGAGAACAGAACAGTAGACTTGTATGTAGTTGTTGATGATGTTCAGCCTGAATTTGTTAAACAATCCCAGACTGGATCCAATACCACAACCCAGCCCACTTCAGCCATTGTTGCCACAGAACATGAGCCCAATAGGCCCAAAAAATTGATACCTAAGAGAGCTGGCATTTTGAGTCAGGCATCTAGTGCAGCTTCAGAGAAGCTGCATGTGTTGGAAAAGTCTAAAGGCAAAGCAGTAGAAGTGGTCCCCACTCTAACAACAAACAAACAACTTCAACCATTTCCTAGATCTAGTACCTCCATTTCATTACCAGAAAACCCTAGTCAAACAACAGCAACCCCAACTCAAACAGAAAACACATTAGAGCCTCATTCTGAATTCATTAGATGTGAAGTGTCAGGGGACTATGATTGGGAGGAAGACAGACCTAATAGCCCCATTGCCATAGATGAGTTACTGCATGGTTTAGGAAGTGATGAAGATGATGATGATAGAGATTATGTGTTAGAAGATGATTTGGAGGGTGAGTCTGATGCAGATGAGTATGAGGATGAGGTTAATCTCAGAAATGAGTATGAGGAAGAGGATTGGCTAGGTGATTATGAGATTTATCAAGCTAACTATGATTTAGATGGGGAAGATGATGATGTTAGTGACATTGAAGAGTTGAAGGAGCCAGAGGATTTTGATGCTGATAGTAGTGATGATGAGAAAAGGGAGGCAAGGGAAAAAGTGAAAGGTTTCAATTGTAGTGTAGTAGAATTGGCACAATCACTACAAGTTCAAGCTGCTAAGGGTAATTTAGCTGCACAACAGGAGGGGAACAAAGGGGGTGAGAGTAGTATACAGGTTGGGGAGACTAGTAAACAAGCTGGGGAGGGTGGAAAACAGGCTGGTTACAACTCTGAATATGAAGAATCTGATGAAGAAATTCACACACCTAGGGGAAGTGATGAAGAGGAGACAATTGGGGAAAGAAAGAGCAGGAGAGGTCTGCTTGTAGGGCTTGAGACTGACTTTACTCAGTTTCAGTGGAAAGTTGGGCATAGATTTGCAACTAGGGAGGACTTCAAGCAAGCTGTTGCTAAGTTTGCAATTTTTCAAGGTAGAAATCTAACTATTGTGACAGCAAATAAAAGTAGGCAACAAAGAATTGGTGTGAGGTGCAGTGAAGGGTTTCCTTTTAGGTTGTATGCCTCTTGGGACTCCTGGAGAGGTTCCTTTGTAGTTAAAACAGTAGTGTCAAACCATAGTTGCATCAGAACTATGGAGAAAAACAAGCAGCTAAAAGGGTCATGGTTGGCAGAACAACTACTTGATGTGTTTAAGGCTAGGCCTCATTGGCCAGCTAAAGAGATCATTGAAACAGTCAGGAGAGCTTACAGGGTTATCATTAGGAAAGAGTTTGCTTACAAGGTAAAGTGGCATGCTCACAAAAAGCTTCATGGCTCCATGAGAGAGCATTATGGGAAGGTTGGCAGGTATCTTGAAGCCTTGAAAAGGTCCAGTCCAAACACACAGTTGGACTTAGTCACATACATGGACAAGAATAAGCCACCACAGATTTTTCAGAGGTTGTATGTCTGTTTTGAGGGATTGCAAAAAGGTTGGATGGAGGGTTGCAGAAAAATTATATGTGTTGATGCTTGCTTTTTGAAGACATTCCTAGGGGGACAGTTGATGTCTGCTGTAGGCAGAGATGGGAATGATCAGATGTACCCAATTGCTTGGGCAGTGGTGGAGGGTAAAGATAATACTTCCTGGGAGTGGTTTCTGAATAACCTCAGCAAAAGCCTTCAGCTTGGTGATGGTTCTAGAACAGTGATTGTGTCAGATGAGCATCAAGTATAAACTTCAACTGTTTTTGGTTTTTTTTTTTTTTTCCTGAATTCATTAATACATATATTTGGTTATGTTGGTTTTTTTTGCTGAATTCATTAATACATATTGCTTTACTAGGCCATTCTAAGAGGGGTTAGTGTGACACTCCCTCAAGCTGAGCACAGACATTGTGCAAGACATATTTTTTCAAATTGGCACAAGAATTTCAGAGGTGATGAAATGAAATTGATGTTTTGGAGCTGTGCAAAGTCATATAGTGAAGCTGACTATAGAGATGCACTTAATAAGCTGGAGACAACTAGTGCTGCAGCTGCTGCAGGCTTCAAAAGTTACAACCCAAATGTCTTCTGCAGGGCATTTTTGAAAACTGATGTGAAGGCAGATGCCATCACATCTAACATGGCTGAGACATTTAATGGGTATATCATTAATGCTAGGGAAAAACATTTGCTTTATATGTTGGAGGATATAAGGGCATCTGTAATGAGGAGGTTGGTGATTAAGAGGAAGGAAATGGAAAAATGGAAGAGTGTTTTATGTCCAAGGATTTAGAAGAAGTTAGAATCAGAGAAAGAGGAAGCTGCTAATTGTGAGGTCATTCCTTCTTCACAGAGTGTGTTTCAAGTGAGCCATATCTTGGATACTATGTCTGTGGACCTAGAAAAAATAACTTGCACATGCAGAAAATGGAACATGTGTGGGATCCCATGTTGCCATGCAGTGGCTGCAATTTTTTTCTGTCATAAGAAGGCAGAAGATTATGTTGATGAGTGTTATAAGAAGGAGATGTACTTGAAAGCATATGGGAATTCAATCCCTCCAATTGAAGGTGAAAGGCATTGGCCTCAATCAGAGTTGAGTATGGATCCACCCCCCATCAAAGTAGGACCAGGAAGGCCAAGGAAGAATAGAAGAAAGGATCCATTTGAGGACCCTAAAAAGCCAGGAAAGTTGACCAAACATGGCATGGAAATGACATGCTCTGTGTGTCAACAAAAGGGCCATAATAAGAGAAGGTGCCCTAACAGAGGAACTACTCTGCCACAAGCCCCACAAACCCCAGATGAGCCTCCAGCAAAGAGAGCAAGGGGTAGGCCAAGGAAAGAGGCTACAACTTCCCAACCTATGCACCCATGCTCTTCTACTCATCTAACAGCAACAGCTGAACCTTCAAGAATAGGAAGGGGAGGTAGAGTGATCAGCAGGGGAGACAACTCAGCTGGAAGGGGAACTGGCAGAGCTAGGGGAAGGGATGCTCCAACTAGTAAGGGTGGAAGAACTGGTAGGGGAGGGGAAGCTTCAGGCAGTATGGGAAGAGGTGTTACCACAACAACAGGAGGTAACAGAGATGGTAGAGGAACAAGGGGTGGTAGAGGATCAAGGGATGGAAGAGGTAGAGGAAGAAATCAGGTCCCCCAAGGTTTTGGTGTTTATTTGACATCAGATGGCTCTACATTCACTACTGTATGACAGTAACTTATTGCCTATTTTATTACAAAGCCTATTTATGTGGAAACAAAACTAACTCCTTTTTTTTTTTCAATGCAGCCACCAGGAAGTGCAGAACCTCAAGATGTTTCAGCATACACCACTACTTTCTCCTACAACTTCAGTCAGGGTTCCTCAAATTAGAACAACATGTAATAAGGATATATTAGTTAGTTAAGATCAATGACATTCCTAAGTTTATGCAATTCAAACCTATGTTTATGTATCTTCATTTGAACAGAGTTTGTCTTGTATTTTGAAGAATTTCATGTTATGCTATATATGCTCTCTGTTTGTGCAATTTTTTTCATAGTATATATGTTGTATTAAAGTGTTTAAAACAGTGGCTGCAACAACAATTAAATTGCAAGAATTTCAGCAACAACAATTTAACCAAGCAACATAAGTCATATATTCATTGAAATTGCCATGGTTACAAAAGTCAGTGAAGGTCAGCACCTACACTACAGTCAAGCTTTACTTCCTTCTTTAAGTCAAGCCTAGCCTACTGAATACCATCCTAGCATGCCAAATTAAGCAAAAAAACCAAACACTTTCACATCTGAAAACTACCCAAAATACAGATGTCCCAACCAACCCACAACCCACTTATACTACACCTTCACAGCAACCCCAAAAAACTACCTTCACCCCATCATCAACACACCCTATTTCATCAACAGCACAAGGGTGAAAAATGCCCAAGAGAAGACCAGAGTAAGCATTAGCCTTTTGTCAGTGTTGTTTTCCTTGAGTTCAAACATTGTTTCAGTCGTTGCAATGCCCATTTCCTCCACCTCTTCAACCAGCTTCTCTTTCTTTGCCTTGAGCCTCTTCACTTTATCCTTCATCATGTCCATTTCATACTCAAGCTCACAGATTCTGGTCTCCTTCTCCATAACCAAATGCTGCAGATCACAAACATCATCCACCTCATCAGCCCACTTGAAAAAGCCACAAGTCCTCTGCTCCTACAAATCACCCAAATTAGGCTATTACAGCAATAACAAAGCAAATTAAAAAAAAAAACAACAATTTGGTGCGCAAATACTTACAGGCCAGTATGAGCACCCAAAAAACCGCTTCCCCTTTGTTGGACCATCGTAGTGCACTGTCCTCAGTGGTGCAATTTCATTGTGGTAGCAAACCACCTGAGAAGACGAGGTTTGCTTCGACCTCGACCTTGAAGAGGAGCCAATTGAATTATGACTTGCCATTGATAGCGAACTGGAAAAAAAAAATTAAAGAAAGCTTTGAGTACAAGAGAAGAGATGAGATGAAGAAAGATGAAAAAATTAATTGATGGGGGGGGGGCAATTTATAAAATTCTCAGAGAAGAACAGGGGAGAAGGCATTAATGGTGTATAAGCTTTTTAACGGATGGAAATTAAATTAGAAGAAACCGGTTGTTCTAAGCAATCTAATTTTTTAACCGGTTTCAACAGGTGAAGGATCGTTAATGGAAGATAGGGGAAATAGTGGGATTGTTTCTGGATTTTAGAAAGGTGGGATTGTTTGTGGAAGACCACCTAAAGGTGGGATTATTAGTTTACAATTTTCCTTAAAAGATTTAAAGCCTTCAATTTCCCGTTAACTACAACAAAAGACAATTAAGAAAGCAGAAAAAGAATTGGAGCAGCTAAATTTGTGAATTTAATTAAATTAATTAATTTTTGAAAAAATGATTGATGAAGAAAAGAGGCCTAATATAGTAGCAATAGGAACTAGGAAGGCGTGAAAACTAGAACAAAAGCGACAAGAAATCCTATCATCCTCAACACTCTCTCTCTCTCTCAAATCCTATCATCCTCAACACACACACTCTCTCTCTCCCTCTTCCCACTTAGGTGTTAATGGAGGAAAGGAAATGGGGCTGGTCTGGTGGCTGGGTGTTGTTAATGGAGGTCAGTGGTGTTTGGTTGGAGAACTTAGGGGGTGTTTGGTTAGGGTTTTTGGAATGGGTTGGAATGGTGTCAACTCGATTTGAATGTTCATTCTGGAATTTCATAATATTACTATTTAACTCCATTCCAACCCCCTAAAATCTCATAACTAACTCATCCCATAAGATTCTAAATCCACCATCTTGTATGGGTTCCCAGTCCATTCCATTCTATTAGAGAGAGAATTTTCGGGCTTCAGCTAACACATGTCAAGGTCAAGGTGGAGACCTCTGTTCCAGCCCATTTGCAACTTGGAAAGATTACCTCTGAATTCTATGTTTCTTTGTACTATTTGGCATAACTCTTTTATTTTCCTTTCACGCGGCTGATTTGGTCATTGTTAAAATTGTTAGCTTAACTCTTATCAGCTCATCTGATTTATTATTGTATCTTACAAAATTGCCATTTGTGTCTATCATGATCCAGAAACTCATGGATATAGATATTTATCCAAGTAATCTGTAGTGTTTAGGATGCAGTTAACATTTAGCTGACACTCGGACAGTCAACTGACTTCGCAAATACCTATTTTTAATTTTTGTTTTTTAAGTGCAACACTTAGACGAGCATGAAGTTTTAGGAGGTTCAATTAAATGTATTAAAATAATATGCAAGTGAAATTTGTTGAGGAATTAAAAATTTATAAAATAGGGAATAGTGGGTGTAATTTTTTTTTATTAGAAAGAAAGGATGTGAGAGAAACATAATGAAAAGTGAGAATATAGACCATAAGAGGAGAGATTCAATAATAAAAAAAAATGTAGAAGATTTCATTTGAAGGAGTATCTATTAGATAATGGGTCAGTGTTGCATTCAGCACTTTAAACTTATAAAAAGTTCGAAGTCAATTAAAGATGCATGGGACCTTTTCAGCTCTTCCCATCGGAGAGTATGCTGCTGTGACTCTTCTGCTATTCTTCGTTTGAAGTCAATTAAAGATGCATGGGACCTTCCAGCAGATGATTCCAAAGATGAAAATAAAGATGGCTCTGAACTTGGTGAATATACTGAGGCTGAGGAGCTTGTGAAGGTGAATTTCGAAACACCATATTTTCAGGATACTTATGATCGCATATTTTTATTCTTCAATAAACACCTTACTCTCACTTGTTTTAAGCTTACTATTACCTCTGACTCATTTGCACCATTTCTGGATTAACAAATATATATTTACTTCCCTAGTACTGGACCCTTATGCTCTTAAGTGAATCTCTGACTCCATTGTGTCCAATTAAATATATTTTCCTTCAAAGTTTCTAATAAGGACTTTGTTTGCTTGAACAAAACAAATTAAATTCACTACTTTTTATGGGGTTACAATCTTTTTGTTTACTTTGTTTAATCTATATCAAGTTGGAATAGAAATATGGATTAGATATTTTAGATCCTATTAATATGTTAGCCCCCTCCCTCCGAGAATTAACTTCTCTGTATTGACACAACGAGGTCTTGCTGCAAAACCAAACAATCTCTAATCATCCTGCCCCCCCCCCTTTTTCCCCCCTTCCTCTTTCCTTTAAAAAATCCGAAAAGGTGAAAAAGTTGTAATGATAACCATTGCATTTGACTAATCCTATTTTTTTCTCCGCAGGCTTCAAAACGACTGACAAACCCATTTGAAATTATGTGGAAATCATTCTGCCTTGTGTTCTTTACAGTGAGTATTCAGTACAATCATTAGTAATTGTATTATTAGTAGTTTATTTCTCTGAAACATGCAACCCTTTTGTTTCTAAAGGAATGGGGTGATCGCTCAATGCTTGCTACCATCGCCCTTGGTGCTGCACAGGTACGATATTAGAACTAGCATTCATAGATATAAACTTCTATGCATCCATAAGTTTTACATTTATATCTTAATTACTTGAATTTCAGTCTCCATGGGGCGTGGCAAGTGGAGCCATAGTGGGACACCTAGTTGCCACATCTGTCGCAGTTCTTGGAGGAGCATTTCTTGCCAAGTACATTTCTGAAAAGCTGGTAGGTCGCTGAAATGTTTCTGCTGTTAAGGGTTGCTATCTTGCTGCTCTTATTTATCATGCTCACTATATTTCCCTTTAGGTTGGCTACTTGGGAGGAGTCCTATTTCTTCTTTTTGCTGTAGCAACATTCTTTGGATTCTTTTAGTTCCTCGTGACATAACAGAGTCGAAGGAGATTTTAAAACGTTTATCTTCAAAAAAGGAAATTTTCAGAAGATTTGTTCTCCAGATCAGGAACTCCTACCCACTGATACATTAGTCGGTTCGTACCAGTAGAATCTCTCAGCTTCATAGCCAGCTTGAAAATGTTCATACAAGTTCACCATGCCATTTTAGCAACAGAACACTTTGAGTAGGAAATTTGACAAATTCCAATAACCAGGTAAACAGAGTGAAACCTGTGAAGAATAGGTATTTATTGTTACTGATAAATTTTTTGTACCTTCCTTTGTATGACATGTATTTAAATAACCATTTTGCAACAATCATTTTTGTATAAATAATGATTTACCATGAAATGGTGTAGTTTTTTTTTAGTGTAAGAAACATTGTATTCTTAGTTTGGATTCGTTTCATGTTTTGGCATATATAGCTATATTACTCAATACAGAAATGTGTGTCAAAGATCGGATGGAATTTGGGAATATCATCCCTTAGTAACCTTTTATCATTTTTATCAGATGCAAAGAGTTTGTTTTGATGGTTTACAATTGTGACTTTTGAGGATTAAGTGTGGGATGAGGAATTGATAGGGAAAATAAATTGATATAATCCTGATTTCATGTTTTTAGACTTGGAGGTGATTTCATATACACCATCTTCCAAGTCTCCATGAAGGGCTAGCGTTGTGGATATCCATTTGGTGTACTTCCCAAATTTTGAAGCTGCCATGGCCAAAAAAGTTCAAAGAGTGTCACCGGAACAAACGTCATAATAGTCCATCCCCCGAATTGTGACGTCTCTGAAATCACAAATCTTGGTTTCAAGTGCTCTAAACTCTTTATTCTGTACACACTTGCTCCCAAGTGCTTTCTTCCTTGACAGTAATTTCCCAATGATCCATGTGTATAGGGTGAAAACTCTTGTTGATCAAAAGGAGGTTTGATAGGAAGTTTGAGGTGAGTTTTTGGGTTTAGCTTAGATTACACCTTGTTTTGGAGCCCAAATAGCTTTTCTAATTGGATGGTCTATCAAACCTGAGCCCAATAGCGAAGTCCCATATGGGTGCAAAGGTCAATTGGCACAAGTCTGGGATGAGTCTAAAAGGCTTGTGTTGAGCATTTCCAAGCTTTGGAAGCAATATAATGGCCCCATGGTCAAGTGGTCCAAAACCCATCTACTAAGATAATAAATCTACTAGGGGCTAGGGGTGAGCAAACCGGGTACCTCGTCAAATTTTTAGGAACCGGATCCGGAATTGGTTGGTACCGAGACCTAAAATTTAGAATTGGAATTGGAACCAATTCAACCAGGTCCTAAACTTTAGGAATTGAAATTGGAACCGCCGGGTATCGGGTCCGGTTCCGGGTACCAACTTATGTACATAATTATTAAATTTTAATACAAATTTAATACTTATTTTGATCCATTTTCATTTTTAGCGTTTAATACTTATATTTATATATGCATGATTACATGAAGCTATTTTATTTAGGTTAGATATTAATAATATGTTTTTTTTTTTTTTTTTTTACTAACTAGATACATTTAACATATTTTTTTAAGAAAAAAGTATATTTAGTTTAATATATATTAGGTAACTGGGTACCCAACCGGTTCTGGATCAAAAAAATTGGGATTTGGAATTGGAACCGGTTGCAACCAGTTTCTAAATTTATTACTCGGAATTGGACATTGGAACCACTGGGTCCAATTCTAGATTCGGACTCGCCAGTTCCTAACCGGTTCCAATTCCAATTCCAATTCCGGGTACCCAGAATTTTTTATCACTCCTAATTTCTACTACCACCTCTGTTATAATATTATTTGCAACTTTGGAATATTTTATATCAAAAACAATATTCCAAAGTTGCATATTATATGAAGTGGAGGTAGTACCAATATCTGTTTAGGGCCTGTTATGATTTACAGAAATAAACTGAACTTAACTAAATATTTTATGAAAGAAGGAAATTAGGAACTGAATTGGACTGGACTAAACTGATCGGAGCTTAACTGAATTGAACTGAAATTAAACCGAAGAGAATAGGCCCTTAGTGGTAGATCCCAAGGTACTTTTAATTTGTCTATTTGCTGATACTTATCGAGAAAGATTGCAAGCTTTTTTCTTTCGCAAGTATTCGTAACTAACTTTGTTATCAGAGTAAGTATTCTCATATACCCCTCGAGCTCAGTTAATTATTTTAGGTAAAATCATGATTCAAGCGTAAGATGTTCCTCAGTTCCTCACTGATCAAGTAATAAACTCCTGACTTGGTGACTATACCCGAAGCAACACCCATACGGACAAAGATGAGTGAAGAATGGGACCAATGAATATTTTGTCATCCAAGTATTTGGTACATTACAAGTAATAAAGCTATAAAATGAAGATCCTGGAATAGTTTCATCCAGCCTTTATGATTCACAATTGAAACAGTTGAGGGGTTTTATTCTTAAAACAACGCATGTATCTTCATGTTTCATGATAGAAATTCTTCTGAACTGATGTCTGATGGTATATCTTGGATGGGTGGTCAAGCATTGCGATTGCTATGTTGCTGAAATCCATTACTTAGTATTTTAGTAATGTATGTTTGTCTTGAATCTCAAGCTACTTGGAAGTATACTTGTGATTTTGTTAGATTGTTACAGAAATTAACTATAAGCTTGATTAGAGAGAATTTGTAAGAAAGTTGTGTAGTTTTGGCAGGAATTTTAGTCAAATAATTGTTTATTATTCATTGTAAGCAGAATCATTCAAGAACAATATGTGCAAACAATTACTCGTAGTTACAAAAAGTTACTCTGTGTGCCAACCGAGGAACTAGAGGCATCGCTTAAGTACAACATAATCAACCCTCTCAACTAAACAAAAAAAAGTTAATTTACTTTACAGCAATTACATCCCCTGGCAGCCCTGCATCTTCAGGGTTGTAGTGCATTGAATAGAGTTAAAGGGAGAAAAGATGACTAACACGAGCAACTCATGAGTGCCTAGATCTGTGCAGCTAACCCCAACCAATTGGAACTAAGGTACAACAATTACATCCCCAATAAACCACAAAGGCTTGGACACCTGCTGTTACAACATTAAAATTGACCACTAATCGTCTAACCCACTCTCTGATGCAGCATTGACAGTTATATAAACCTCAGAGCAGAGCTAAGATGAGCCGAGGAAAAAAATGCTTCTATAGGCTGAAGCTGAAAATGCTCTCATGAATTTTTTTAATTCCTTAGCGCGTCATTCAGGTGAAAATCGTGTGATAAATAGGGTAAAGAATTTATTCAATCAAACACTGCTGAGTTCGGAATGTCCCATTTTTAAGCAGCTCAGTGATACGTCTTTCAAATCTCTTAGCTCCAGGACCTGGCCTCAAGATGTCTGCATCACCCCATTCACCACAAGTGTTGTTCCTCTCACCAACGCACCAGCCACCAGGCACAACACTCCCACGTCTCCGCCCAAGAATTTCTCTATCAATACGATCAAGTATTGGGTCATTCGGACGAAACTGCGTGGCAAATGCCGATCCACTCTGTAGCATGTCTTTTAAGTCAGAGCCATTCAGGTGTCTGGGACTATCACTTGAAGATGCAGAGTAAGATGCATACTGTAAATTATGGTTTACAGCACTCTCTTTGAACTCTGGTGAGTTGCAAACAACGGTTGGTACATAGCTCAATAAAGATGATGGGGAATTTGCCAAGTACATCAGTAAAGTTCTTGGTAAGTTATCTGATCCCAGAACACAGAATTCAACAAATTTCCGATTCAAAACAGAGGTTGGTGACCCTGCACATAGAACACCAATTATCAGCTGATGATTCATTACTCAAAATTTCTGGTGAATTTTATGATTGCTTAGTAGACCAGCAGAAGATGCAGTTTCTTTGACATATTCTGAACAAAAAACTGTTAAACAAGATTTCCATCTACATTTTTTGATTGCTTAATATGCCAGCAGAAGATGCAGTATTTTTGACATATTCTGAACAAAAAACTGTTAACAAGATTTCCATCTACATATTTTGTAGTTTCTCATCGATTTATCTTGAAAATCGGGGCTTATTAGGGAAAATAGATGAATAAACATAACAGCTTTCTTTCAACTTCATCATTTTCATGTAGTTGCTAAACAAGAAAAGTGCCATCAATAAAATATTAAGAATATAAGCCATTCCAGCAACAACGTCAAACAGCCAATGCTCCTAGTTGCACCTTACAATAAAGTCCAAGAGTATTCTTCCGTTGATGGAATTATGCAGCAAGTAAACAAGTATATGTCAGAGGGAAGGTGTTATTAAGTTGCTGTTCTCACTGCTTATACTAGAGGCCTAGACACTTTGACAAAAGAACAGGGAGACAAAGGGAAGCAAGGGTAATTAGTAAACAATAGTGATTACTACCCATAGCATCAGTCTCATTTTGGAAAATATCATACATCAGGATCAAGGAAAGTTTTAAAAAAGTTCAGACCAGACAGAAGGTAACCTGAATATGGATCTAAAGTCAATTCACATGATCACTTCTACTGGCACATTGTTTAGGGATGCAATTTCCCTAATTTGGATAGCATATTATGTAGGTGAGAGAAATGAAAGGGAGGAAAATGGAGGAAATTAATTATTTGAGAAACAAATTTCTCCAAAATTGGAAAAATGTGGAAAGAAAATGGGAATAAGACATTCAATTAACATGAAATGACAATTTTACCTTTACTAAAATCTCGATTTTCTCCCCTTACCCCTGCCCCCCCTAGAGTCCTTCCAAAAAATAACCCCTTTTTTCATTTTCCCTCACCTTTCTTTGTCTCTCTCTTAGATGTGAAACCCAGATTCACATAATTGACATCCTTAATTGTCATGACTTCCCCAATTTCAAATCAAGAATTTTGAAGATGAAACTACCTATATAACTTAAATGACAGTGGAAAGACAAGCAACAACTATTTCAGCAGTGGAGAAAACATTTAATCACACCCATTCATCAGCAACTGTAGTTTTTTGTGTGTTGGCGGTGGAGATTGTCAGAGTGATGATAAAAGCCACCTTCAGGAGTTCAGGTGGATGTCTTAGTGGAAGTGGCAAAGGATCTCGTGGTGTTGTAGGCAGTAGTAAATGATAAAGAATCGAATTTTTTGGGGCTCCAAATTTGTGGGTCTTCTTCTTCCATTGATGAAGAATAGCAAGCGTAAAGGATGAACTATTCACTACCATAAGACCAAAAAGTTCGCTTCCCCTCCTATTTTCCTTTCTCTCCCCTAGTCCCCTCTCAGTTTTCTTCTTTCCCTTCCCAATTTATTATCCAAACAAGCTGCTATCGAGACCTTGTGTCCTAGCTACATAACCACTTTCTGGCCTAAAATCTCAAGTAACTGTTCTCAAAGAATACGAATACTACCAAAGCTTCAATACATATCCCTGATTCTTGCCCTGATTATCTGGTAACATCAGAGGTGAGACAGACAATGCAGGAAAGAGATCCCTTTCAAAGCTTCATTTAACCAAAACTAAATCCCATTATGTACTTTTTTTCAAGAGGGTAGGGGAGTATAAAGCAACTAGGGAAGCTGCTAGCGATAGACTAAGATTTGGAAAAAAAATCCATAATAGCTCAAACCAAGGAGCACTAGATTTAACTTTTACTAGTATTTGAGCTCTAGAAATATGCAAGTGAGGCTGCAGACTCACCTGAGAACAACTGATAAGCACTGGGAAAGTCCCGCTTTTGAGTGGCATAAAACATCCCAGTCTTTTCTGCAAGATAAAGTCCAGGATCCACAATGATGGGTTTCAGCCTTCGAGCTCTAAAATGCCACATGAAACCAGAGTTACTAAAAGGGAATAGACTTGATCAACAACCAAAAAATTGATTCATGTTAAACAAGTGAAAGTAACTCACTCTTTCCATCCAATGTAGCTGGTATGGTTCACAAAGTTCAGGTCTTTTGGTGTGTATGACAATATGTGCAACAAATCTGTACAAATGTGAATCATAACAACATAATCAAAATTAAATAAAAGTTTGAATACTTGAACCAAATTATCAAATCAAGCAAGGCATATATGCAACAAAACCATGAAAGACCCACATTATCAAATCAGTGTTAAACATTAAAGCTTGAACCAAAATACACATCATAAGATAACAACAATCTCCTCATCCAATGTAGCTAGAATTGTAACAAAGTTGTAATCTTTAGGTCATGAACCGCGAAATGAACAGCAAATTTGCGCAAAACCTAAAGTCAGGGTGCAATACACAACACCGACATCAATTACCATCTATATCACTGCTCTTTGCGACTCTGAACAATAAAAAACAAACCTAGTATCCTAGTATACACCAAATTAACAATCAATGCAGCTAATAAGAGAAATCCCAACAAAACTACACTTCAAGACCTTAAGTATCTTAGTCAATTCAAGTCCGAATCAAATCCGTCTACATCACTGCTCTTTGCGGCTTGAAAAACAAAACTAGTAACTTATACCAAATTAACAACCAATGCAGCAAATCAGGAAAAAAAAAAAAGCCAATAACACAAGATCAACCATCATTAAATCACAAAAAACAATAGGAAATCAAACATCCAAGCAAACCCCACAAAAAATTGAATTCAAAAGATAGAAATTTACCATCTTGAGTAACAAGGGGATAATCATGAGCAGACAAATTGATGAACCAATCCCAATTAGAATTCAACCTAAGCAAAATAGAGGCACCCCTAAGCAAAGAAGCAATAGGGGAAGATCCTCTAGGGTAAGCAAAATCGGCATTACCAATAACATGGACATTCCGGGCAGCTTTAACCACGGGCAGGCCGTGCACCCTAAGAGACAAACGGTCACGGTCAGACTGAGGGGCAAAACGGTCAAGATGAAGCAAGTAAAGATTTTTAGGGTGGTAAATAGAGAGAAGAAGCCGGAAGATTCTAGAATAGTCACCGGATGATCCAGTGATGAAGTAAGCAATTGAAGGGACAGAAGGAAGAGGGGGTGAGTTGGGGTTGTTGAGGACATATTGAGGGTTGGGGAAGAGGCGTGGGTCAGGTGATGTTGCGGTGGTTGTTGCGGCGGTTGTTGGGGTTGTTGTGGTTGTTGAGATGAAGAAGAGGAGAGAGAAAATGAAGGAGGCTGCTATGAAGTAGAAGGTTGTGGAGTTGTCTCTTGGTGGTGGTGATGGTGGTTGTTGGTTTTGCAACATTGTTGTTGTTGTTGTTGTGTGTTTTTTAAAAAAGTTTCTAGTTTTTGGTTCTTTTGGTACAAGATGGTTGTGTTGTTTTGGTGTGTTTATAATGGGATTAATGGTGCTATAGGGCCATAGGGATGGTTCGTTCTTGAGATAGGGGGGATTATTATGCGTTCGTGTAAATGAAAATTTAACAAGGGAATGATTTTTTATTTGGGGGTGTTGTGAGATTACTAGATCTAAGGTGGGGTGTTTTTGGTGTGTTTTAGGAAGGCTAGATATTAGGGAGATATTTAATTTATATGATTTTGATTTGATGATTCGATTACCATTTGTTGGTTTACTACTTTATTAGTAGTGTATAAGTGGAGGACGGGTAAAGATTAAGGAGGCAAGAAAGGTGATTAGATGGGAATGAATTAACAAGATGAATTTAATTGGTGAGCTTTTGACTGTTAGGTGCTCCCTTAATTCTATTTTAAGTGCCTAATAGTTACATTTATACTTCTAATACTTTTTGATTGATGTGGAATTTTGATAGTGATATGAAGAGGTTCGAACATTCAACCTCTAAGAAGAAAAGTCATTGTTTAACTATCCAAGTAATTGTCTTATAATTTTCCACACAAATTTATGTTATACTGCAAAAGTATTGAAAACACATATAATTCTTAAAAAATTAACAATTGTATAACTGAAAAAAGTAGCTATCCGGAGCAACGCCCTGGCTATACACTAGTTAATATTAAAAAAAATGTTCATTGAAATGATCCGATAACAAAATTTCACATAGTTATATATTAAGATATTGTACATGCTTGGCCTAACTCGCTTTCGACCCTACAAAATCTGGCCCTCTTTGACATTACATGCACCGACCTTGACCCAACCCCCTTATTAACCAGGTCTAAACAAAATTAACCATTAAAACTTAAAACCCAATCGATAAAACAGGGAGTATATATTAGGAGGAAAAAAATCTATTATAATAGCCAAAAAATCCAAGAACCCTAACCCGGTCTTTACCTTTTATCGCGAGTTTGATAAAATTTGCAAATCCTAATATGGTATTAACAGAGATAGTTATGATATGATTGGTGCCAAAATCCCCTTTAAATTATCATATGTGAATATCTCTTCTCACTTGAGAAACGAAGAAACTAATAGACATGAACACCCAATCCTCTCCAAATATTAAAACAGTGGCCCTAACTTAACTTTATTTGTGTGCGTATCTACCATTGAACACTACGTGTTGGCATTAGGGATATCCTGTGGAATAAGGATGTCAAAGTCTTTTTAAACAAGTCGAATAGAGGTATTGATCCCTTGAAACTTGTATGGCTTACACGATCATGAGTTGGAGTTGGCTTAAACATATAACTTACTGTATATATGCGCTCAATCTTTGCCACTAGATTAGGTGAAACGCTAAACATCGCCCGCAATTTACCATATAAAGCCCACAAATATGTTATGATTTGACCATTATGCCCTTTCGGTAAAATTGAGATAATCTCGGTGTAAAAAATGTGGAGCCGTACTGGCTCGCCGGGGGAGACCGGATGGCAGGCCGGAGATGCGGGGGACGCCGGAGGTACGTCGTCGTCGACGGAAAACGAGGTAAGTGACCGCTAAAATTCACGGTTTACCGTCGTAGTGGCTCTGGCGCCTAGGGTGGACGCCCAAACCGTAGCCTGGACGTCCAAGCCGGACGCCAGAACCACCAGAGTGGCGTCCAGGCTAGACGCCCAGACCACCAGAGTGGCGTCCAGCCCAGACGCCCAGACCACCAGACTGGCGTCCTGGGCAGACGCCACTCCACTGGGTGAGGCGGCCTTGCCAGACGCCAGTCCAGTGGCTGTGGCAGCCCTTGCAGACGCCACCTTTAATAATTAATTTTTATTTTTTCCTTTTTGATTTTGTTGTTGTTTTTTATTTAATTTTTTTGTGAAAAAAAAAATCGAAAATGATTTTTTAAAAAAATTCGAAATGGGTTTTTTGTAAATTAAATTTGAAAATTCGAAATAGGTTTTTTTAAAATTAAATTTGAAAATTCGAAATGGTATATTTTTAAATTTAGTTTGAAAATTCGAATTGGGTTTTTATAAAAATTAAGTTTGATTATATATAATTATGTTTTTTTTGTGTTAATTATGTGGAAATATAGAAATTAAATGTATTATCCGTTAAATGTATTTATTGTAATATATAATTGATGCAGGAATATGGTGGAGACGGAAATGATTACAGTGAGATATTTGGACATGATGGTCCATTCGAAGAAGCTCAACAAGCGATTGATTGGGCAAAACAGGTTGCAATTGCAGCTGGATTTTGCTTGGTAGTAGCAACTCATAAATCTCAACGGGATGGTAGAATGGATCGCATTTTGAGATGTGACCGTTATCGCAAAAGAGAAGAAAGAGATTTTCGTACAGCCACTCGGTTTGACACAAAGCGGAAAGGTTGTGGGTGTGAGTTCAGAGTAAAGGTTCGACAACTACGGAGTCGTGACGGTTGGGAAGTGATAGGTTACTCTAAATGGGGGTATCACAACCATGAGATGATAGTATATGAAGAGGGTCATCGACAACTGAGCGGCTTAAGTCCTGCTGCGAAACTAGTTGTGAAAGAAATGAGTGATGCTCAAGTGAAGCCTGCTAAAATATTAGCATCTGTGTTAGAGAAATTTCCAGAAGACCATCCAAACCGAAGACACATCTACAACGTCAGACAACAACTCAGGTTTGAACGGTCAGAGGGAAGGAACCCTATACAGCAGCTGCTACACCAGGCACAATCACGTGGTTACCTGTTCTGGTTTGATTCTGATGAAGATACAGCGGAGGTGACTCATCTTTTCCTTGTGCATCCTGATTGTGCTGATATGATCAAGTCTTGGCCATTTGTGATTTTGATCGACTCAACGTACAAGACAAACAAGTACAAGTTCCCTCTGGTTGAGATGGTTGGGATGGCTCCAACGAACCAGAACTTTCTGATTGGTCATGCAATCATCAGGGATGAGACGGCTCCAAGTTATTATTGGGTTTTGGAGAAGCTGAGAAACTACATCGGGCCTAATGTTCATCCAGCAGCCATCGTCAGCGACTGTGAGGGAGGTCTCTTTGCCCCCATAGCAGAGCTGTTTCCCGAATCGAACCACTTATTGTGCACATGGCACATCAACAACTGCGTGAAAGTGAAAGCCTACAACCTTTTCAAGAAGAATTTGGAAATGGCAGAGAGATTGGTGAATGGTAAGTGGCGGAAGATCCTACAGGCTACCACAGAGGAAGCGTATGAGCGAGCATTGGCTAACTTCAGGGATTCGTACCAGTGGTGTCCGACACTGGTGGACTATGTGATGCATCAATGGGTCCCTCATAGGGAAAAGTTTGTCAAATATTGGACAAACCAGGTACTTCATTTTGGGAACACTACAACATGTAGAGTTGAGAGCGCTCATAGAGCTACCAAGGACTGGATTGATTCATCGACCGCTGCTTTGGATACACTGTTCGCTAGACTGAACAAGTCAATTGAAACTCAGAAGAACGACATCAGGAACTCTCTAGAGGACTCCAGACGACGACATGGTACGATGTATAGCCATTTTATATTTAAGATTCTCCATGGTCGTGTGTCGCACTACTGCTTGGGGTTGATTCTCACTGAGCTGAACAGGGTGAGGGACTTGGCTGACGAAGTGTATACTCGGTGTGGGTGTACTATTTCAGTAACTCATGGATTACCTTGCGCATGCACCATTCATCGCGTTATTACAGAAGAAAGGGCGTCGTTACATGTTGATCAGGTCCATTCATTCTGGAGGACGCTTGTTATTGGTGAGCATGCAGACAATCAAACGGCCGACCGTGAACAGGAAGAGTTGGAGCAGTTCCGTTCGATGTACGACCGAGTGTCCTCCAGCCATCCTTTTATTATTCGTGACGCTACTCATGTGCTTCATGACATGTTCCACCCGTCTAACTTAGATTATGAGGAACCCGAAGGAGTTGACCGTCCTCGAGGTCGACAACGGCGGAACAGGAGTGCGTTTGAGTATATCCGTGGTCTTGGTCGTGGTCGTTCTCGTGGTCGGACATCGTCATCTAGTCGTAGTCAATCTTCATCGTCTGTGAATATGCCCCTGAGAACTGGTACGTTTTGGTTGTTTTTATTGCACATAGTTTTAAAGTGTTACTCCTGTCTTCTTAACTGTCTATAATTAATTATTTGGTGAATAGGAAGAAACGATGTTGATCAGTTTCCGTACAAGGAAAGGATACCTGCGATCATCATGTCGTACGTGGAAGGGTGGAATGATGTAATCGGAGATGGTAACTGCGGATTCCGGGTCGTGGCTGATGTTTTTCAAATGGGCGAAGACAACTACGGTTTGGTGCGTGAGTTGATGTACAGCGAAATTGCCTCTAACCGAAATGTTTATCGTCATGTGTACCAGGATGACTTGGATGGCGCTCTCCGGCGTATCCGGTGGGGAGGTGGACCTTGCGGCGAAAATCATTATTTTGACGCGCCCCTAGATCTGTTTGCCGTTGCAAACATTTACAAATGCGCAGTCATGCATTTCGGCTTGGGAGTGCATAGTCAAGCTTATTATCCTTGTACCACGGTTCTCCCTTGGCGGTCGCGTGAGACTGTCACCACACCGGTCAGAGAGCTAGCTATTGCGTTTCTTGGGTCGTCATACAGACATTTCATCCGACTAGACATGTCAACCGATTTTCCGGTGCCACCGATTATACCTCGGTGGTACAACATTCGCACAGCGAGCGTAGAGGGTTGGGATGCGCTATATAATGACCGGATCCACGAATGGAACACCCTAGCTGCATTTTAGTTTTTCTTGTTTACATTCTTTATTTGTAATCTTATTTGTACGTTGCTCTTTTAATGAGAACATTAATATTTTATATTGTATTGCTTACTGCATTCTATATGTTGCGCGCGGATCCACGAACGGTTATATCAAAATTTAAAAACAGCACTGATAATATGTTTAAGTTGGAAGCTAAAAGAACAATCTAAAATGTTACAATTTTACAACATAATGTCCAACATAATGCTCTGTAAATAAAATACAATAACCATCAGTAATCCCTCCTCGACGACGACTCCCACTGCGCAAGGGTCTGTTCCAGACTATCAACAACAGCTCTCCCTGTTGCACTCATGCTGTCCTTCTCAAGAGAGAGTTTCTGAACGTCTTGCATTATCTTTCCCATCCACTACATACAACAAAAAACAGAAGATGAAATACAATAACAACAAATAAAACTTAATTAAAAGACAACGATAAATATAATAAAAGACATACCGCTTCCGTGGCAGTAGGCGGTGGCACATAATCATCATCGCTGTGGTCGAGATCAGCGATCAACCTCGGGTGCGAATACCGGTTGAACCATTCCATGTAGTAATGGTCACACATGGGAGTAACCCCAGAGGGCGGCCGCTGCAACTCCGCTAACCATAATCGAGCCACCATCGGAAACTGGTCCCACGTCCCGGTCATGATATCCGGCCATTCCACGACGTACTCCCTCGACGATGCAGGTCGGACCGCCTTCATCGGGCACGCCGGGGGAGGAGGTACAACTTGGACAAATCCAAGCTGGCGAAGACAACGCTGGGGCATGTACGCCTCGACGATGTCACGATACTGAATGAGTCCCGTGTACAGGGTCCTGGGTACCCTAACACTAGGGTTCGGGCCGAAAGGCATCCAGTTCACCTGTACAATTACAACATATAAAATATAATAACATGAATATAATATGTGCAAATAATAAAATGTAGACTCTATAAATAAACGTTACCTCTAAGGGGGACAGCCTGTCCAGCAATAACCGTATCGATCGGAGGCGGTCAACGGACTTCTTCTCCGAGCGCGGACTCCACGCACAAGCACGCGACATCCCCTCATCAATAGGAACTGGGTCACGATGTGGTCGCAATGCAGGAAAGTACTCGTATATCCAAGTCTGCAATAGAGTCAGACACCCAGTGATACCTGTCGCGTCAGCCCGACTCGCAAATCCTAGTTGGCGATACAAATACGCCAACGTAGCCGATCCCCAGGAAAACTGGCCTACACTGTCGGGGTCACACGCCTCTACGATGTCGCGTGGCCTGAGCTTGTTTCCGCCGCTCTTATCCGGAAACAAGGTACATCCGAGGAGTAGAAAAACATAAGCACTCAGCTGTGCGTCGGGCGTCCTACGTGCACTCGGGTACAAACACCGCTGCAACACGGATGCGATCTTCACATCTCCGTGTTCCCAAACACCTAGAGCCTCGGTGTACAGTGCAGCCCTGTCCACCGCCAACAACTCTGCCAGCGAATCTGCCTGATCCGCATCAGCCACAGCACAAAGTCGTTTACCCTCAACACGAATCCCCAGAATGGCCTCGATGTCATGTAACATGATCGTCATCTCACCGAACGGAAGGTGAAAAGAGTTTGTATCCGGCTACCATCGCTCAATGAAAGCCGTGATCAGCGTACTGTCAATCTTATCGTGCACGGTGGCAGGAACGTGCTTCACCCCAGTGCCCTCCAGTCGCTCGAACATCTCGCTCTCCGCCGGCCAGGCCTCAGCCCATGTACGCAAAAAACTACAAGTCTTTTCCCGGGTATGACATTTCAACAACCCCGTAACTGAAGGCCTCTCCTGGTCCTCCCAAATACGGGCAGCTATGTGTCCTAGAAAGCTAGGAATCACACTCCCGTCAACAGGCCCACCGGGCACCTCACTCCTAACAACCCAAGAATCATTACCCGCCCTCGACCGTTTCCTGCTTGCCCCAGATACAGTGGACGCAGATGATGTGCCAGATCACTAACAAACCTACCACCCCTACCCTTACGCACCTCCACCATATGCGTCTCGTACATGTCATCAACCCTCTGACTGAATGGACCGTAATCATCATACGGTCCACTGCCATCGTCCACATCCTCATCCTCATCTGCGCCCTCCTCCTGCTCCTCCTCCTGGTCACCCTCCTCAGCATCATCATCGTCATCGTCATCCTCATCCCGACGGTGGATCCGTTCTCTACGAACTGAGGCCGAAATACCACGGGATCTGACATGTCTATGCCCCGACCTCTCCACTGAATAACTTCTACTAAGAAGCTCTATATTCTTCCCCCCACCATGACGACCCTACACAAAATTTTAAAATATATAAACATACAAAAATTTATACGATAAATAATCATCATCGCAAATCAAATACACTAAAAACATACAAATAATAGTAAACAAAATATAAACGTAGAAAAAATACAACGAAATTGAAAAAATTTATAAAAATAAACAACAAAATATAAAAACAATTCAAAATTATATTACAAAAAAAAAAAAAAAATTAAAAACAATTTTTTAAAAAAATTAAAAAAAAATAAAAAATAAAAATTTGGGGGGGGGGCGCCTTGGCTGGATGCCCAGCCGGCGGTGGTGGCGCCAGATGCAGACGCCGCCACCAGTTGGTTGGCGCCTGGGCTGGACGCCACAGCCACGGCTGCGGCGCCTAGACTAAACGCCACAACCGTGGCGGTGGCATCCAGCCCAGGCGCCAGCCAACTGGTGGCGGCGTCTGCATCTGGCGCCACCACCGCCGGCTGGGCGTCCAGCCAGGGCGCCCCACCGCGTTCACGGCGGTTTTCCCCTTTTTTTTTTTTTTTTTTTTTAAAACAAAATATACCTTTCCTCCTTGGGACATCCTTCCCTCCGCCGCCGCCGCCACTTCCTTGCCTTGCCGCCTCGACATTGCCGTTATTTTGAATTTTTTTTTTTTTTTAGAGAGGTTGAAAGAAGATGAGCAATGAGAGTGTGAGTGATGAGAGTGTGAGTGATGAGAGTGTGAGTGTTTTTTTTTTAAGGTCAAGGGCAATTTTGAAAACCAAGTGAATTTTGTGGGCTTTATATAGTAATTTGTGGGCGATGTTTAACAAATCCCATTATTAGACCTCATTAGATCTCCTTCTCTCTCCAATCCTCAATCCCTCAAAGCTCAAACTCAAGCAAAACACAAAAATTTATTAAAATCCGATGTACAATATCATTATTGTAAATCAACTTGTTTGGACTCGCACGTGAGCACCTTCTTCCGTTTTTTTTTTCATTTCTAAATCCTCATCTTTTTTTGAGTACTTTCTTCTTTCACGTTCTCTCTCCACTCTTACTTCCTCTCCTCTTCTTTTTGCTACAGTTCATTTTCTTCCATGATTTATCTCTATTTATTTTGAGATTCAAAGGTTTTCGACTTTTTTATTTATTGATTTTTGTTATTTAATGGAATTTCACAGCTAATAAGCTTGAAGTGCACAGTCGTCATCAACGTCGTGACGTCGTCGGTTTGCTCGGTGAGATGGTCGGAAATGATGGAATCGGCGATGGTTTCAGCACTATCGGCATTACTAGCGGTGGTTTCGGCGACGAATTTTGATTTGTTTGAGTGATTGTAGACTTTGTAGTGTTTTTTTTCGTGACTATTGTCAATTTTGCATTTATTTTTGTTGATTTTGATACTCTGTTTTGCATATGTAGCTTAATTACTTTTGTGAAATTAAAAGTCACTTGCGTGAAAAAAAAAAGTTACTTTTGTGAAAAAAATGCCACTTTTGTGAAATATGGGTAACTTTTGTAAAAGAAAAATGGTCACTTTTTATAAAATATTCGATGTATAGTAAAATATTGTAAACCGGGGGCATGCACAACCAAATTTCATTTTCATAATAGACATCCATTTTAAAAATTGAAATCCATCCACAAAATTAATCATGAGAAAACCAAGCTTCCACAAATTTTAAGCATCCACAAAATTAATCTTGAGAAAACCAAGCTTCCACAAATTTTAAGCCTCCAAATGTTATGATGCTAACTTTCATACCAGATTTTTTAAACGTAGAAACTAGAAGCACCACATTAACCACACACTCATAAGTTTTTGTCCCTTTTCATGCTCTTCCTATTTTATATTCCCTCAATATGATTTTTCAGCTAATTAAATTAATAAATTAATACTTCATTTTTATAAATATATCACCCTTCTTCATTTACCAACAGAACTCAACTGAAGTCATGGCAATCGAGGTGAGTTTTCTACATCATCCAATTTCATACCCTTTTTCCTTTAATTAATTCCTACTTATAAATTTATAATCATATAATCGCTAATTAATTAATTAATATATAATTTTGATTAATTTTAATGTTAATTTGAAGGCTTGGTATATGGATGAAAGTAATGAGGATCCAAGGCTTCCTCATCATCGAAACCCAAAAGAATTTGTCTCCCTTGATACCCTTTCTGGTTTGTTAATTCTCCTTCCCATTATTTTTTTTTCTGGGAATTTTTTGGCCATTTATTGATGATAAAAATGGGGTTTGTTGCAGAAATTGGTGTTTTACACTGGAAATTGAATGCTAAGGACTATGAAAATGATCCTGAATTAAAGAAGATTAGAGATGAGAGGGGTTACAACTATATGGTAAGTTTGCTCCCTATATCGGAAATAATAGTCACATATACTAGTAATACTGCTACCTCTGTTCCGTGTTTGTTCCATTTGATTTTTGCAAAGTTTTCGACACACATGATTGAACTATATAATATACGGAGTATTTAATTATAGGTGATTACAAATTATACTCTAATATTTTGAATATGAACTCAATCTCACCTATTTCTTCTTATGTATTTGAGTTTAACTCATGATATGATTTTTTTTGTTTGAAGTTAGAACACAAATGGTATATGTGACAAACAGGAGAAAATGGAGGTACTATTAATAAATGTTTGGAAAATGTTGTGGCGTTTTCTAAATTATTATTCCATAATGGATTTTGAGCGCAAATAAAAAACTTACAAAAAAAAAAAAAAAAAAAAAAAAAAAAAAAACTGGAATGATGCTGATCTTATTGGATTGGAAAATTGGTGAGTATATGTATTGCATAATTGGCTTCAATCTGTTTTTTTGATGTTGCATTAGGATTGTGGCCTTTGTGGGTTACAAATAATTTTAAGGGATAATCAACATGAGATTGAGTTGATTGCTAGAAGTAAGCAAAAATGCTTCTACCGCCGTTTCATATTATGTGCAATAAAGTCCTTGACACCGACTACTAGGTAAAATTTGTTTGTGAGTGTAATGGAGGGAGAAAGATATAGATGCATGTGATGAGACAAGAGATATAGGACATGGCAACTTAAAATGAAAGACAACATTTATTGCACATAGTGTAAGGATTCATTTTTAGTAAATGTAGCACATAATATGAAGCAGAGGTAGTATTTACAATTGTAGCTAATTGATTAGGATGCTTGAGAGTTAAAGAGTTACATTGGGTTCAGTGCTTTAGATTAAGGTTGAGGTATTGAAATGTAAGAGTTGATTAGTTGTAAGGACCTTAAGGTGCAAGGAGTTGAGGAGCAATCTAGAGAGAATAATTGTAATTCGTTCTAAATTTGTTAAGAGTTACTATGTACTCTGCAGTTCATGGTTCTGGTTTTATGTGCGAGTACTGTGAATTTTGTAATATGCGGCAGGATATCCATCTATAATCCATTTGTATCAAAGTCTGTTGTCCTTGGTACTTAGCTAACATGGTATAATGTTGTTATATAAAATCTATAGGGGGGAAATTAAAGGGTGTCTCAACTTAGCAGGGTAAAAATCTAAATCTCTCCAATTTCTGCAGAGCTCTTTGCTTCTATAATCTAATGTTTTACACATTGACATCTGATTGAATCAACTGGATGATGCTCGTCAGTCTTCACTGTCATCTCTCTTATTTCTTTTCTTCTCAACATACATATGGTGCTACACTACTACGGCTAAGAGCCTAAGCCGATATTATTTATTTCCTTAGAAGACTTGCTCTTCAACAGTTGTGAAGCTTTAACGTACCTCTAAGTAGAATGCAATTGCATATTAGCTTATTGTTTCCTATTCTGCAGGATTTAACATTTGAACTCAAAACAACACCTACTAGTAACAATTAAAAGTGCTCTTGGCCATACCAGTAATTAAAAATTTATCATCACGAACCCTCAAATGGCTGGCTATTCTTATGACACTTTATGAGGAGCCTTTTTATCCTAGCGTACTTGGTTTGGAGTTGACATATTGCTGACAGGGCAGCTGGGCAGACGTAACTCTAGCAATCAGCAGCTGTGTTTTACTTTTTGTTCAGAAGGGTGGGGCGGGGGAAGAATTGGAATTATGTATTAATTCTGATTAAAATTATAAAACCAGAGTTCTGGAACGTTATCTCTTGAACCCAACAGTTTGCAAAGTTTACATTCTCTATCTTATGCTTTCCGATTAAGTCAAGGGTCGTTTTCTCTGTAGGGGCTCTTACGATTTATTCTGATGTGCAGGATATTCTTGATTTGTGTCCTGAAAAGGTGGAGAATTATGAGCAGAAGCTGAAGAACTTCTTCACAGAACACATACATGCAGATGAAGAGATACGCTACTGCTTGGAGGGAAGTGGCTACTTTGATGTACGAGACAAGGCAGACCGTTGGATTCGGATCTGGCTTAAAGAGGGTGATATGATCATACTTCCTGCTGGAATATACCATCGTTTCACTCTTGACACCTCTAACTATGTGAAGGCAAGTATACACTTCGTAGTATACAGTAGTAATTTTGTGTGACAATATAGTCTCACTACTATTGAGCTTTGCATCCCCTCTTTGTTACCTATATCTGTTTACTACCACTAAAGGATCATGGAAATTGCTGATATGATTTAATGAGAACACTTATGAACAACATGCAGTTAATGAGGCTTTTCATAGGAGAACCAGTGTGGACACCCTATAATCGGCCACAGGAAGATCATCCAGTTAGAAAGGAGTACGTAAAGAATTTGGCAGAGAAAGCGAGGATGCCTGTTTCTGCTTACTAGTAATTCAAGCCATACCTTGTGGTTGCTCGTGGGTATCAAAATTTTATAGGTATTCCGTGACTGTAATCATTGATATGCTAGAGCTATGGCTGCTTGTAATGTGTATCGCTGCTTCTTTGTGGACAGTAGTAGGAAGTTATAGTGTAAAAATTTCTACACAATTATTGTTATTGTTTTAGAACAAAGGATTTAAAGAGATCAAAAGAAAGCTTTTAGATACTCCGATAATTGTTTTGTATATTTCCTTCAGATCATGCGGTGATTTATAGTAGCCTTGCATGAAAAGTGTTTACTCGATATATTAAACATGCAGTGAAATGTCTAATCGAGTATGAGGTTCTGAGCGACGATATTTACTCTTGGATGGGAAGCTAAACGGTGATATTTGGCGGTATCCTTAATCCATTCATATTACGCATACGATGCGTATTACAACACTCCCCCTTGAACGGATTTCTATAGGATGACTCCTATCCAAAATTTACATTTATGTAAAATAAATATTACTGCTATTGTACCTATATGTTTACCTGCCTCATTAAAACCTTGCCAAGAAAAACCCTGTGGGATAAAAACTTGGACGAAGGAAAAAGAGTACAACACATATAGGGCTCCCCCTAAGTTTAACACAGATCACAAAGACGACGCATGCTTGTCAATTGTCAAATGCATGAGTTCTTAAAATTTGCTAGGTGGTAATGCCTTCGTGAATAGATCGGCTGAGTTGTTGCATGAGTGGATCTTCTTGACATCGATTTTGCCTTCTTTTTCCAAGTCATGAGTAGAAAAGAACTTGGGGTCGATGTGTTTTGTTACATCACCTTTGATGTAGCCTCCTTTGATTTGTGAAATGCAAACAATGTTGTCTTCAAAAATTGTAGTTGGGCCTTCTTCGATTGTTTTGATGTCGCTTTCTTCTAGTATATGTTGGGTCACTAATCGCAACCATATACATTCCCTACCAGCTTCATAAAGGGCAATCAATTCAGCTTGGTTTGATGAAGTTGTTGTTAGTGTCTACTTGGTTGACTTCCAAGAGATCGATCGATGTATTGTCATAGCTGAAAAGATAACCTGTTTGTGATTTTGATTTTACTGGAGCTGATAAGTAGCCTGCATCATCATATCCCACGAGAGTAGGATTTCCATTTTTTTTTGGATAGAAGAGCCCTAAATCGATTGTTCCACGTATATAACGAAGTAAGTGCTTCACTCTACTCCACCGTCTACTTGTAGGTTCAAAGCTATACTTCGCTAACAAGTTCACCGAAAATGCAATGTCTATCCTAGTAGTGTTGATGGCCAGGTACATCAAAGCTCCTATTGCACTTAGGTATGGCACCGCTGGACCAAGTACAACTTCACCTTCTTCTCGGGGTCGAAATGGATCAACTTTGATGTTTAGAGTACGAACAATCATTGGTGAATTTAATGGCTGTGCTTTGTCCATTAGAACCTTTTTAATACTTTCTCAACATAATTGGATTGATGAATTAAGATACCATCTCTTAGATGTTCAATTTGTAATCCGAGACATAATTTTGTTCTTCCAAGGTCTTTCATTTCAAATTCTTTCATCATACAGTTAGCTAGTTTTTCGATTTCGTTATGTGTCCAGAAGATGTTTAAATCATCAACATACACCGCTATTATGACAAAACCATTTTCAAACCTTTTGATGAATACACATGGACAAATTTGGTCGTTCTTATACCCTTCTTTGAGTAGGTACTCACTTGAATGGTTAAACCACATCCTCCCATATTGCTTTAAACTTAGAGTGATTTTTTCAATTTTATGGAATGTAGCTTTCGAGGTTGTGCCCTCAAAGGTTCAGGTAGTTCAAGTCCTTCGAGGACTCTTATATAGATGTCAGTATCAAGTGACCCATAAAGGTATGCAGTCACAACATCTGTCAAACGCATTTGTAGTCCTTTGCATGTTGAGACACTTATGAGGAACCTTAGTATCGTGGTATCCACCACAGGTGAATATGCTTCCTCATAGTCGATTCCCGGTCTTTAAGAGAAACCTTGGGCTACAAGTCTAACCTTGTATTTTACAATTTCGTCCTTTTCATTTCCTTTTCGTATGAACACCCATCTATACCCGACAAGTTTCACTCCTTTTGGAGTTAAGACTGCAAGACTGAAAACTTCGCGTTTTGCGAGAGATTTTAAATCAACCTGAATGGCTTCTTTCTACTTTGGTCAATCACTCCTTCGTTGACATTCATCTACAGATGATGGCTCGGTGTCCTCAACATCAGAGATGATTTATGTGGCAATTGAGTATGCGAATACATCATTGACATAGGTTTTTACTCTATCCCACTGTTTTCTAGTGTGGACGCAATTTATTGAAATTTCATGATTGTCGACGATTTCGTTTTCACGCTCCTCCTCAGATGTACCATCCGACTCTTTAGATTAGTCTTGGGGGTTGATGATATTTTCATCATCTTGGATTTGATTTATTTTATTTGAGGAGTATTCACTCTTTTTATTCCTCATTTCCACTCTTTTAGATTTTCTCGGCTTCAGATCTTTAGCTTCGAGGTGTTTGCCACGTCTTTTGCGTGCTGCAAATTTATCTGAAAGTGGATTATCAGTATTCTTTGCTGGGATTTCAACCCTAGTAGAAGCATTCACTGAATGTATATGTGACTTTGTCACTCCTTTTCTATCAGTGAGTGCGTCTGGCAATTGATCTGCGATGTTTTGGAAATGTATTATTTTTTGCACTTCTTGTTTGCATACATTTGTCCTTGGATCAAGGTATGATAGATTTTGGGCATTTCATGATATTTCTTTCAGCATGGGCCCTCTTTATCTCCCCTAAGGTTGGGAAGATTGATAAATTAAAGTGACAATCTGCGAACCGAGCTGTGAAAAGATCACCAGTCAATGGTTCAAGATATCGTGTGATGGAAGGTGATTCATAGCCAACATAGATTCCCAATCTTCTTTATGGGCCCATTTTAGTACGTTGGGGCGGTGCTATGGGAACATAGACTGCACATCCGAATGTTTTTAGATGTGCCAGACTAGGTTCCTTTCCAACTACTAGTTGCATTGGAGATAACTTATGCGTCGCGCTCGGTCTTAGTCGTAGCAAAGCAGTGGCATGTATTATTGCATGTCCCCATGCAAAAGATGGGAGTCTTGATTTCATGAGTAATGGTCTGGTGATTAATTGTAATCGCTTTATTAATGATTCTGCAAGGCCATTTTGTGTATGAACATGGGCTATTGGGTGTTCCACGTTTATCCCAATCGACATACAATAGTCATTAAATGTTCGGGATGTAAATTCTCCGGCATTATCTAGCCTAATCCTTTTGATTGGATAATCCGGGAATTAAGCCCATAAACGTGTGATTTGCGCAAGAAGTTTTGCAAATGCAACATTCCTGGTGGAGAGAAGACTAACATGTGACTAACGAGTTGAGGCATCAATTAACACGAGGAAATATCTGAACGGTCCAGATGTCGGGTGTGTTGGCCCGCAAATGTCTTGATGGGTGTCATAAATGGCACCCATTTGATGAATATTTAGGTTTTTTTTACCTTCTTTTCATAGCTTTCCTTCTTAATAAATGCTTATTTTTATGCTTTTGCTCTTTGTTTTACCTTTTCTCTCTTTTTTTTTGGTTTTGTGCATTTCTATGGTTTTTCTAGTCTTTTCTCCCTTATTTGTTCTCTTTTCGTGGTTATAGGTATTGTACGAGGATCAGGTCTTGATATGGATGGATTACTAAGGTGGGAGACGCTTTTGGAGCAAGCTCATGGAAATAGGAAAGCTCAAGATGCAAGAAAGTGGATTCTCCAAGTTCTAGCTCTTGCGCTTTCAAGCCGCGCTCTCATGAAGATGGTGTGTTGAACCCACTGTCAAGTGCTTTTTGGATTTGCCACTCTTAGTGTTCATCATCATCATATTGCGCGGTCATGCGAAGTCCCTTAGCGAATTCACGAAGCATCGAGAAGAACCGAAGAAACCCAGAGGAGCGCGGGCGCGCCTCCTTGGCTGCGCGGGCGCGCCCTTCTGGGTCCCTGCTTTGCTCGGTTTCGTTTCGCGCCTCCTATTTATATTTACTTGTACCTGATTTTGGGAGTAATTAGAAAGCAATTAGAGATAATCTTTGATCATATTCTTAGCTTAGTTGAGAGCTTCTCTCTCTAGTTTTAGGGTTAGTCTAGGAGTAGATTTAGAGAGAGAAAGTAAGGAATTTCAATGGTGATTGAGAGATTGAAGATTCAATGGTGACAACTGTGTTGAAGATCTTCTCTATTATCAATGAGCATTTCTAAATCTATCTCATTTTATTGCTTTGTTTAATATTCATGTTTGTTTGGATTGATTTTGATGTTTGATCTTTGATTAGTGTAATTGTTCTTCATATTTTATGATTCATGATTTCCTTAGTTATTAATTGATTAGATGATGATGTTAAAGTAGTTGTTTGGCTAGGGATTGGGTAAAACTTGTATGATTGATTGATTGTGCTTAATTTGGGGATTATGTTGATTAATTGTTGAGATTAAAGTGATTAATGGAAATTGTGCATGTGTGTAATTCGATTAGGCCTTGAGAATTATGCTAGATTGCATTGTAATTACTAATGATACGGACCATTGATTTAGGAATTGCAATTGTCGATTGAGTTTGATTAGTGATATTCCTAGTTAGTGTTTCTCGTAGTTGGCGCTAGTTAGACCTCTAGGAGATAGCTTCTTGAGCTCTTTTGATTGCTCTTACCATTAGTCTTCGCAAACATTGATTTGCATGTTATTCCCGAGTTGCTACAATTGTTATGATTATTTGTTGATCCCCATTCCCTAGTGCTTTATTTGTTTGGTTCTTTGTTTCTTAGTTGTTAGTGTTCTCTCTTTATCTTTGTCTTCGACCTAGCTTAGGCGCATAATTGAGAGCGCTTGAACATTACCGTTCCTTTGGGTTCGACCCTTGACTTGCCTCTATGCTTGTATTCATGTTTTTTAAGTTGTTTATAAATTTTGTTTCACTTAGGGAGGAGTAGTCAACGACCTAGTCTTACCCCTCGTCATGGATCCTTGTATTCTTTCTAGGAATGCAAGATTTTCACCTTCAAGTTTACCTTTTGAAGGTCTAATGATTAGTTTTCCAAGTGAACAAGCTTTACAATGAAGTTCATTTGATTGTGGGATTCGTATATTATTTAACGGATGTCCATTTAAACTTTTAATGATTTTTATCGTCATGCTTGTTCCAGGATGACCCAAGCGGTCATGCCATATATTAAACATTTTCTAGTTGTGTA